ATATTAACTGCTGTCAGATTTGGGGAAGATTACACTGAACAATCTGTCAGGAATTGGTTGAGCACATTTAGCAAAATTACCCAATCAACTGTATGTTAACACAATTCTGTGTCTAGTTTGCGGTGAGGATGGTGCTCTACGTGTTGGTAGTGAGATAGCATAATGCTTATGGCATTTGCTGGTTAATTTATTCAAGAGTCGATCTTCCTAAAGTTCATTAGACAGAACTCTGGCTTTGTGGGCTGTCAGTGGCAGTTGATTCAAGGTCTCGTGTCAACATTTAGGAAAGCTCCTGTCGCCACTTTCTATCCAGGCTTCGATAAGCGACCTCTGCTTACTGACACGCTGGAAGGCAGGAACTCACTGTGTACCACCTTCCAAACATGCATTACCAGTGAGTTCTCTTGGGATGGTTTTCTACACGCTTTTTAACTTAAAAAAAAAAAAAAAGATTTATTTATTTGAAAGGCAGAGTTAGAGAGAGAGACCGAGAGAGAGAGAGAGAGAGAGCACTTGCATACTTTGGTTCACTCCCCCAAATAGCTGCAAGGGCTGAGCTGGGCAGATCCAAAGCCAGGAGCTTCCTCTGGATCTGCCATGAAGGTGCAGAGGCCCAAGCACTTGGGCCATCTTCCACTGCTTTCCCCGGTGCATTAGCAGGGAGATAGATCAGAAGTGGAGCAGCCAGGACTTGAACCGGTGCCCATATGGGATGCCGACTGGCTGCTTTATCTGCTATGCCAGAGTGCTGGCCCCTCTGGCCCCTTTTTTCAAAAAAAAAAAAAAAAATACAAGGCAGCACTGTGGCACAGCAGATAAAGTTGCCACCTGTAGGGCTAGCAACCCATGAGGGCTCTGGACTGCTCTACTCTGATCCAGCTCCCTGCTAATGTGCCTGGTAAAAGCAACCAAAGATCGCCCCACTGCTTGAGTCCTTGCACCCACATGAAAGACCTGGAAAATACTACTGGCTCCTGGCTTTCATCTAGTCCAGTCCTGGCCATTGCAGCCATTTGGGGAGTAAATTGGTAGATGGAAGATCTCTGTCTCTCTGTTTGTCTCTCCTTCCCTCTGTCTCTCTCTTTAACTCTGTCTTTCAGATAAATAAAATAAATCTTAAAAAAATATTCTGGAAAATTTTCATCTACAGGTATTGTAGACATGAACTAGGGTTGTAGTACATGGGAAAAAGGAGAACAAAAGCAAGAAAGAACAAATAGTGCTTGGGCCATGTTTTTCTGTGCCACTTTCCATAATGTAAATTCTTCTTACTGGCTTTAACCTTGGGCAGGTTCTTGAATCTATAATATTTATACTGCAGGGTTTGTAGTGAAAATTCAAGTTATGTATTTATATTGCAGGTGTAATACCTGTTATACGGACTTGCTCCAAAAATGAGAATGACTGCTATTATTCAAATATTTTGGTGCAACTCACATGAACTGGATGCTCTCTTCTGGCCACATATAAAAGAACACATCCAATCCTATTTTAACCCATTCTTGCACTTTCACCGTATTAAGTCCCATGTGAAAGATTCCAAGAAGGCCTACTCCTTGGGAACTTGCTTACCTTTATGTGCGACCAAGGAGCCTATCACTGGGCATTCTGGCACTTGACAGTTTCTGCTATCTTCTGTCCTTGGAACAAATCACTGAGTTGGTCAGGCAGAAGCCATTGCTTCTAAACTATAGACAGAGAAACTGAGGCCGGCAGACATTAATTTAATTGCCAGAGGTTGTAGAATTGGCAAACAGCCTGACACCGAGAAGCTTATAACCTAGTGGCATTCAGACCATCAGAAGACGGAGAGGAAAAGACGACGGGTGAGCAAGAACAGTTCTGCACGGTGATGATCTCACTGACGCGCTGAATGGCATCTGTTTCCCAGTGAGCTAGAAGAGGGCTCACGGAGGCCATCGGCAAGGGCTTGTGGAGGAGCTGAAACCGCAAGCACTCGGTCTCTGAAGAACCCCCTCTCATGGGGAATCATGGTCTTGCCCAGCTTCATTTTACTGCTGCTAACTTCACACTAGGCAGTAAGAAGAATGCTTTCCTACAGCCTTTCTTTCTCCAGCTTGAAATAGCTTCCCTTCTTTGTGCCCATGCTTTCTCAAGAGATCACCAACAAGTTCTTCCTACTTTTGAATGCTTACTTGTGGGAATACCACATTAAAACATGTTTTTCCTCTTTTTGATGTCAAGATATTTTTATGATATTGTCCTCAATCCTTTTAGCATGCTTACGTTTTCCCAAATTTATTACTTGGTGACTTGTGACTGCCTCATTCTTCAAAAATTATCTGAACACACCATTGGCCGAAGACCCTCCATTCTCAAATCCCTCCTTGACACCTGTGAAACTTTCATCGCCACCGCTTCGCTGTTTCCAAACTTTCCTGTCACAAATCACTGTTAGTCTTCTGACTGCCTCTGAACAGCCATTTTTTTTCTGTTCTCATCCCTGCAGTCTTCTGTTGCCAAAACACACCGCTGACGACGTTCTCGCTGACAAGTGAGTGAGTCGCAACGTCAGATTCCTGATGCTGTCACCTCCCTGACTGCTAGTTTTTGTGCTCAGTGCCTCTTGGAAATATCTATTTGTAGTGGAATGGAGTGGACCCTGGATGTGTAGACACACCCCCAGGTGAGCCATCTAGTTCTAGTCCTGATAGGCTTTCTGGCTGCATGCAAATCACCTTGCTGAGCCTCCCTTTCTTTGAGTGTAAAATCGAGACAATGCGTAGGGTGCCACTTCACATTCTCGTTCTTGAGGGCTTGGGGAGGTGATGGATACAGGAGCCGTTTATATTCTAAATGTCACCCAAGTGGAAATATTAATTGCCAGTTTCAGAAACATGTGATTTTGTGTTTATTCTTTAGATGCATTATCTCTAAGGTAGTTAATATTATCATTTGCATATAGATGATCATATGTATATAAATAAATAAATAAATATCTGGAAATCGGATTGAACCAGTTTACAGGACAGCTTTACAGCTATACTACTCCAGGAACGGAAAACTCTGCTTTGCCTAGTATCCATCAGTTTTTTGTACTTTCTCAGTGACACTATCATTAGGCAGCTGAGTCCTTAATTCTGTGTCACCTTCAAATTTTCTCTACAGTGGCACTTGGGTTGGTTTGTTTATTTATTCATTTTTGCCTCTTAGCACCTGATTCCCCTTCTGTGGCTTAGGAAATTCTACAGTGTGTATGTGCTGGTGGCAAACAGGGAGTTTACCTTTTAAAACCAATTAGTAATGCACAAGAAAGAGGAAAAAAATTAGTTGCAACAGTGGATTTTCTTTTTTTTTTCTTTTCTTTTCTTTTTTTTTGACAGGCAGAGTGGACAGTGAGAGAGAGAGACAGAGAGAAGGAAGACAGAGAGAAGAGAGAAAGGAAGACCTTTCTCTTCCTTTGCCATTGGTTCACCCTCCAATGGCCGCCGCGGCCGGTGCACTGCGCTGATCCGATGGCAGGAGCCAGGTACTTCTCCTGGTCTCCCATGGGGTGCAGGGCCCAAGCACCTGGGCCATCCTCCACTGCACTCCCGGGCCACAGCAGAGAGCTGGCCTGGAAGAGGGGCAACCGGGACAGAATCCGGCGCCGGGACCGGGACTAGAACCCGGTGTGCCGGCGCCGCAAGGCGGAGGATTAGCCTAGTGAGCCGCGGCGCCGGCCAGGGAGTTTACCTTTTAAAACCAATTAGTAATGCACAAGAAAGAGGAAAAAAAAATTGGTTGCAACAGTGGATTTTCATCACTTCTCCTGGAAAAAACACCTCAGTTGGTGCTGCTCCTTTGCTCCGCAGTGCAAAAGAAGCAATGCTGTTGTCGGGTGTTTACTGCAGAGCAGTGGGCGTAGCAGGATTAGGCAGCCTTACACTGGGACAGGTCCCTGAGAGGCCACAGGTAACTGCCCTCGTCCAGGAGACGCACCAGCCCACGCCCTCCCTTCCTGCCCTGGCCACTCTGCGCACCGCTGTCCTGGGAAATGCGTGTCGCAACACTCCCTGCCCCAAGAGCACAGTTCTTTGCCCAGGTTTTTAATGAACGGCCTGCATCTTGGCTCTGGCATTACTGCCCAGTTCCTTCAGGGAGGGACTTCGCTGCGACTGTTGTGTCCCCTTGGCAGGGCCCAGAATAGTGCCACACCTGTTGCAGGCACACAAGAAACATCTGTTGACTGACTGACTGGTAAAGTCTTCTGAGGTACCGGAAGCTCAGTCACTGTTGAATCAAATTAAAAATGAATAACAGACATTTTCTGAGATAAATAGTTCACTTCAAATGTTATATTTTCCAAAGAAAATAATATATATTATTATGAAAAAATTTTAAACCCAAAATTCTTAAATGCTTTTCGAAAAATGTAGCCGCTAAGTTTCAAACACTAAAAATGACAAGATAATGCACATTTTGCTTCTAACCTGCTGTTAAGCCTGTTATTCTCAGTAACTGAATCATCTGAGTGAAATGATCATAAAAAATATGATTGTTAAAAGCTTCTGGAAATACAGGAAACATAATCTTTCCTGTGTATTTGGTTAGAAACTGAGTTCCCTGCCACTTTCTGGCTTTTGTATTAATTGCATCCTCACTAAAAAAGCTATTTCTATTCCACAGACATAATTTTAGGGATTCACACACTCTTCACATTTATTTTTTGAAAAGTATACTAAAAGGAAGAAATGAGACACTGTTCATTATTTTGGCTTTTTTAAACACATTTCCACATCTCAACAGATTCTGAAAAGAAACAAACACCTAGGGGCTTAGAGGCTCACATCCCACACTGGGAGCCCTGGTTTGCTGTCTAGCTCTGGCTCCTGACTCTAGCTTCCTTCCAAGGCAGACCCTGGGAGACAGCAACGATGGCACCAGTAACTGGGTTCCTGCCACCCATGTGTGTGAAATCTGAATGTTCCCAGTTCTCAGGTTTGGCTGTGGCATAGCCCTAGCTGTTGCAGGCATTTGAGGTGTGAACCAGTGGATGGAAACTCTGTCTCTCAAATAAAAAAAAAAAAGAAAATTAATAAACACAAATGTTCACTCTACATATTTTCTGTTTTCCCAAATACGGACCAACACTATCCATAACAGTATACAGTAAATTTTTGAAATTTGTTGAGATGCAGATTTAGGCCCTTGCTTAAATCATTTATATTATAACAAAACAAATCCTTAGTTTGCGTGCACCTCTGTGTTTCAATAAGAGGTTACCTGAGGTAACCAGAGGTATCTGTCTGGTAGCTAAGGCTTCTGCAGGTCCTTTGTTTTTGCATGCTGTCCTCACTGTGGGCTAGGGTTGGTGGCCTTGCAGGCATCACATCTCAGTACGTGTGAGTGAAGGGTATGGACGATGAGCGTCTGTCTGTAGGGAGTGTGACTTCTATATGTCAGAGAGAGGACTGGGAATTGTACACAGGAGTAAGTTAATACTCCAATATCTGCAGATCTGAGATAAGATGAATTGAATAGCAACGCCACTAGACCACAGCTAACATCAAGCAATCTGCATCCTTTTGAATTTGTTAGATGTCTGCTACTATTCTCTGAAATGCTGTACTAGAAGTGGGAAACTGGGATACAGTTACTGTTGGCACAACCAGTGCATCAGGCTACCAGTCCAATGTTTGTAAGGAAGCTGGGTGTAACTTCCATGAAACCTTCCTGCCTTCCTTCTAGACACATTTAGTCTTACTGACATGTCCTGTACTTTGAAAGCAATCAACAGAAGATGTATTACCAAAAAATGGTTTTGATAATTAAGTCCCAATAAAGAGATGTTCAATTAAAAAAATTCAGGAACTTGTAGTCTAAACACAATGACATTCTGAAGAATACAGGTTGAGTGATAATCATATAAGAGCTCAGTTCATTTTAGTCCAAACATTTCCTGAATACATTGTATACAGAAGACGCTGCCAAGCAGCCAGCATGTAAAGAAAAACACGACACACATCTCATCTTTGACATTACAGCACCAATGTCCCTTGGAAGGATCCAACATTCACCTACCTTATTGCCAATTGTACTTTATGGTAAGTGGCATTAAAATGAAATTTCAATATGTTCTGAGAAGCTATATTTAGAAGCATAAATTCTGCCTATAATGAAAATGACATTACATTACTAACCTTCCAATTTTACCTACAGACTGCATTTTCTATTACACAGTTCCTTAGCACAGTGAACTAGCAGAGACTCTTCTGCTAAAAACAATAGTAACTATATTTGCTATGTAATTTGTATTGTTTTCTTTAAGACAATGGTTCCTATTTTTGGTATGTTTGGCAGTAAATGAATAGCTATTATCTACATTAGACAAGTACAAGGTTATCTACAACTCTTTATTCTGTGAGGGTTGAATGGCCTGCCATCAATAAGTTAGGCTTCTTAATGTTTCCAATGGAATATCAACTGCACTATCAGCTTGTCCAGTATCTTTCTTAGAACACAAGATATGGTCACTTAAGACTCTCATCAGAGATCTGAGCCTTGAGTTCTCTAACATTCAGCCCCTGCCCAAACTGTGGTTAAGACGATGATATTGAAGAGGTAAGTGTAAGGTACATTTAAATTATCCATTTCCTAAATGTCCCCATACTAAATTTAGAGTAAACTGTAATAAAAATCAGTGGGTCTCCTAAATGAGCCTGGAGTCATGATTTAATGTTGTTATAGGCTTTTACTGATCATGTGCATAATTAATATAGAGAGTGCTAACTGCATCTTACATAACACTTTGGTAGAAGATATGGTTTATAATGATTTTGGGGTCCATAATTTTTGGATACAAATCCATGGCATTTTATTTCAACCAGCTTTGTTTTCAAGGAGCTGACGATTTGGTGGTTAACAAAACAGATGTGGTCACTGCCTTCAATGAGTTTATATTCTAATGGAGGAAACAGATACTACATAAATCATCTCAAAAGTAACTGTTTATAAATAAATGTGGTGATTTATTTGATATTTATTGGAAGAAAAATATCTTTTCACATGAGTTATATAGTTTTGCTTTTCAAGTGAGGAAGCTATTGTTAGCCACTGGGAAGGCTTTGAGAAAAATTTTATGCTAAATTCATGTAATTATCATACCAGAGGCTGGTGGCCAATTATCTTTGTCTCTAAACAGTTTCTGTTCTTATAGAAAAAGCTTTATTTTGATGGTAATGTTTTAGTATGTCTTCTTTCCTGCAGGCTGACCAAAGGGAGTAAGGAAGGACAGGGCACTGGGAGGGGAGACTGAGATACACAGTACAGGAAAATAAAAAAAAATTATGTCTTCTTGAAGTTTTCCTTCACAATTACACTTGAAAACAAGAGAATTGTTCTGTATGTTCACTGTTGTATGAAACAGTATAACATTTTTGCAGAAGTTCCAACTCCAAAGTTCTTTCTCAACTCTGTGATGCTATTTAAAAATGAGGAGTTCAATTACCTTTAGCCCCATGACAGAAACAAGGGGCTGATGAAAATTCCATGAAGTACCATAGAATATGCTATGTTAAAAATATCAGAATTTCATAATCCTGTGAAACTCTACAGTACTTTAATGGTACTTCTAATAGTGCCTAACACTTGGAAGGGTTCCACAGTTTGGCTCCTATAAAGTGGTTTTTGACAGCAAATGTGCAGGAACCAGAATCCATTCTGAAACTTGAATCTAAGCCACTTAGACATCATGATGTTGCCCAAATGTGAAGTGGTTTCCATTGGCAATACCATAATATCTTCTCACTGAAGCAAGAAGCTGAGTTTGGAGGATGTTTAGCTACCAAAAGAAGCAGACATTATCTAAGTCTTGATCAGGAAGGCAGGAAAAAAATTTGAAAAAGACTTTCTGGCATTCATTCAGCCGAAAATGAAGAAATGAAGAAGCCAAATAAAGTTGACAGCTCCGAAGAGAGCCTGGAAACTGTGGTGCTCTGAAGACTTCATCACCATTGCCTTGCTCACTGATGCCAGGGCACACTTACTGAGTTTTCACCACGTGCAAAGCACCATGGCAGCAACTCTAGCTATACTGGTGCTGAAGGTCAAGGCCTCTCAATGTGGATGAAGGAGTCTCTTTTCTCCAAATATGTCCTAAGCAGGTGTAGCCACTCCCTGGTTCACTTATCTACATGCTTCCTCAGCATCTAACTACTCCTACTTTATCAAAACCCTTTTCATACTCCACCTCATTTCCCTGTAATTCTTTGTGCCTGGCATAGGGTTTTGAAGTCAGCAGATAATCAGTAAATATATATGCTTTGAGTGAGTGCAGTGTAAGGATTTTAAAATATAATTGTGAGATAGAATAGAGGTGTTTTTCTTGCAAGAAATCTTAACCCTTTATAATGTTCCTATCTTGTATAATGTCTAGCATATAAACGGTATTTTAAAAACAGTTGGCTAATCGATATCATGCAAACTCTATGAAGACATTTATAAATACTCACTATCTTTTAGATGCATCATTATACTGAATTATCATAGGGTATACATGTTATTATTGTCCCCCTTTTTTAGAGATACAGCTAAAATCTACAGGGATTAGGTACCTTGCTTAGTTAGCCAGATGCTAACATGTGGAGGCAGGACCTGAACCTCAGCAGTCTGACTGCAGATACTTTTTACTACCATAGTATACATATAAGGAGGATAAGAAATACTGCAAGGTAGTGTATGCTGAAGTTCAGCTGAATGGTGTACATAATACAACTTCTACCTTTAAAAGAAAGTGATTACTGGAGACTGAGCAGTTAGGGCAGCTTTACAAAGGAGGTGGAGCTTGAGGTAGGTTTTGAAAGAGAAGGAAGAATTAGCTATTGAGTAGGCAACAAGAGAAATGAACAGAGCAGCAGAAATGCTCATAGTTATTCGGAAAACAGTTGGACTTGTTTGGACAGAATGAGAATTCACGTAGAAAACCTAGATTAGAGACTTAGCAGGAACAAGAGTGTGAAGGACAAAAAAGTTTGGATTTCATTTTGTTTTGGTTTGTTTGCTTGTGTTTTACATAGAGAAAATGGTGTGAAATCTGCTTTTTAGGAAGAATGCAATAGTAGGTGAGAGATTACAGAGATCAGTTAGATGGATGTGAGAAAGGCTGGAATAACGTGGAGAGCAGTGTGTGAGTAGAAGGAATTTACCAAGAAAGGAAGAACCAATGAAACCGGCAGACTGCCAGCACGTTAGAGAGAGGGATTAGTCAGAGTTTGCCTCTGTGACACATGTGGATAATGTCACTGTCAAAAATGGGGATGTGCTAGGAGAGTTGGTCTTTGGAAGATTATTAAGCCTATAATTTAAAACACTCAATTCTTATAGGATAAAGCACTTATTAACTAAATCACTTAACAATGGTGTAGGCAGTAGTGATAAGTCAGGCATTAGAGACAGAACGGTGAGCAGGACTTTAGAGAAAAGAGGTATTATTCAAATTCAAATATATATATGTATTCAAATATATATATATATATGTGGGGGGGGGGAGAGAGAGAGAGAGAGAGAGAGAGAGAGAGAAAGATGGATCCATCTTCCATCTACTGGTTCACTCCCCAATTGTCCACAATGGTTGGGGCTGGGCCAGGCAAAAGCCAGAAGCCAGGAACTCCATCTGAAATCTGCTACATGGTAGCAGGGACCCAAGCTCTTGGGCCATCTTCCACCGATCTCCCAGGTTCATTAGCAGGGAGCTGGATCAGAAGTGGAGCAACTGGGACTTGACCTGGCACTCTGTTTTGGGATGCCAGCATTCCAAGTGGTGGCTTCGCTTGCTGCCCCACAACACTGGCCCTTATTTTGATTTACTCTCCAGTCACAAGAAAATGAACATGCTCACAATAATGCATACCAGATTAATTTTACAATAGAGCTACATTGTAAAGTCTAATGACTCACCTTAAAATTTCAGTATAGAATTCAGTTCTTACATAAGAATCTTCTTGGGACCAGCACTGTGTTGCAGTGGGTTAAGCCAATGCCTGTGATTCAGGCATCGCTTATGAGCATGGTTCCAGTCCCAGTTGCTCCAGTTTTTTTTTTTTTATTTCTTCTTAATTAGAGGTTTATTTATGTATTCGAAAGGCAGAGTTACAGAGATAGGGAGAGGGAGAGCGATATCTTCTTGGTTCAATCCCCAAATGGTCACAACAGCTGGGCTGCTCCATTTCTGAACCATCTCCCTGTTAATGCGCCCGTGAAAGCAGCAGAGGATGGCCCAAATACTTGGACCCTCGTAACCCAGATGGGAGATCCTCATGGAGTTCCTGGCTTCTGGCTTCAGCCTGGCTTAGCCTTGGCCCTTTAGAAAATGCACTAGCAGATGGAAGATCTCTTTCTCTCTCTGTCTCTTCCTCTCTCTGTCACTCTGCCTTTCAAAAAATAAAACAAATCTTCGAAAAAGAGCTTCTTTCAGAGACAAACTATAAATTCATTTCAAGTATTAGGGGCTGAGTTAGCTGAGTGGGTCTCTTCCTATAAACAAAAGGGCCTGGTTGAAACAGATCACCCCACTGGATAAAAGTTAACTCAAAAGGAGATACTGTATTGAGTTCAGCTACCAAGGTAAATAAATTATTATATATAAAAACAAATCTGTTTGCTACTTTTAAATGTCTTTAATTGTCATAATTATAGCAAGCATATCTCAACACAGATGCATAAGATAAATTCTTAGGAAAATTGCCACAACTGTTGATACTTATACTCAAGTGTTATATTTGTATGCTAAATGCCATACACACATATATGAATGTATTTATACACACCCACACACCTAACTACATGTCTTCAGTAAGACATCAATTATACCAATGTACAAGCAGAATTTTATGACTTCCTTAAAATTCCTGAGTGCTAGGAGCACTGAGGCGATAATCCTCATTACGATTATTCACCCTCCCTCCCGAGGCCTTAGTGAGTAGAAAGATGGTCGACGGAGTTGAGCCAGCTTGCTCTCTGATAATGTCATCTTCTGAATTCACCCCACTGTCTTAATCTGTTTTGTGCTGCTGCAACAAAATACCTGAGGCCGGGTCCTTTATAAAGAGGGGAACTTCATTTCTCACAGCTCGGGAGGCTGAGGGGTCCACGATCGAGCCATGGGCAGGTTCCTGTCGGGGTGTGGGGGGGGCATCCTCCGGGGTGGGGGGTGGACTGCTGTCCCCCTATGGTGGAAGGCAGAGGGCAGGATGGAGGAACTCCCTCCATCAGTTTTAGAAGGCACCTACTGCCACTCAGAGGGGCCCCATCCTCATTGCCAGTTGCCTCCCCTAAGCCCCACCTCTCAGTAACACTACTCACAGCACCTGGGTTTTGGAGGGGACTCGTTCAGAACACAGCACCTGCACGCCGACTCCATCAGCCACTCTCCTGCAGCTTCCCTGCTTCCTGCCACTGCGCCTTCTCTGATCCCTCCCTGGCTGAAACCAAACCACACCTGACGCAGTCAATCAAGTGATCAATAACTAGGCTGTCACTGCCAAACTTCTCCTACAGGCTAAAATACGAATGTTTCTACTCGGATTATTCTGTATAGCTACCATTTGGGACTAAGGGGTATGGAAGCATTCTCTTTACCCTGGTTTAGCAGTTTCCCACGAGTTGTTTTTCTTTTTACGTGGGGCTAAGCTCAGTGAGTTATTTCAGTGTAGCGGAAGTTGAGAAAGAAAACAGGCCATCACAGCTGGCAGGGTGGGGTGGACACACAGGGGAAGACTTGTCTCAGGGCAGTTATTACCGCATTGTGGGACTGTCCCCCTTCCAGATCTCCGATGGCTTCAGTGGTGGAAGAAGAAGAAAGAGAAAAGGAGATGGAAGAGGGATATTCCCTTGCTATTCAGGCCTCTGTGACAATGAAAGGTAACTTACATGTAGGGGCCAGCACTGTGGCTTAAGGGCTAAAGCTACCACATGTAACGCCGGCATCCCATATGGGTGCTGGTTTGTGTTCTGGCTGCTACCCTTCCAATTGAGCTCCCTGCTAATGGCCTTGTAAAAGCAGCAGAAGATGGTCCAAAAGCTTGAGTACCTGCCACCCATGAGGGAGACCTGGATGAAGCTCCTGGCTCCTGGCTTTGGCCTGGCCCAGCCCCTGCTGTTGAAGCCATTTGGGGAGAAAACCAGCAGATGGAAGATCTGTCTCTCCCTCTCTCTGTAACTTTGTCTTTCAGATAAATAAAATAAATCTTTAAAAAAATTAGTAAAGTTAATACTGAGTCTGTGTGAAATGTTACACTTTAAAGAAAACCAAATGAGTCACAGAAGAATAGACTTTGCAATTTATATATCTAATTTCCACACGGTGCTCAGAGTTGCTACCCATTATCCAAAACAGCATTTTACATCTACCTTGATTGATAGGAGACGTTGCTAAGGTAGTACTCAGCAAACTTGGGTAACACTCAAGTTTGAAGGAGCTAAAACGTGAAGTAGAAGAAAGAGAAGGAGACAGCCCAGAGACAGAAATACTGACGACGGAAAAATGACGATACCCAGCCTGGACATCAAGGAAACCCAAGCCAATTTTTATTATTTAGAATGTGAGCTGATAAAATAAACAGGGGCCAGGTACATGGGGTGCTCTGTTACTATAGAAGCATTTTCTGCGTTGGAGTTTATTTTACAGAGAAACTGCAAATAAATAATGATAAGACATCATAGCGTGTCTGATAATCTGTGACAACAATTCCAATGCTGTCACTGCGGCCACCAGAGAAACCTGCACGTACTGAGCCCTGACCTACCGAGCCTTTTATCTGCATGTGTGCTCTCCACAGGCCAAGCAAATAAAGGCCAAGTGATAATTTACACATGAATCAACTTTCTCTGCAGAGACGTTTCTTTTCTCTGCTACTGAGGGAAAGGCAGTGAAGTCTAAGCTTGTCTCACTAGCAATCATACAAGTGAAACAGTGATTTGCAGGAAAATGGCAGATCAGGACAGGGAAGCTGTTTTGAATGCCTGATAAAAATGGCAGCCACAAAGGACTAGATGCATATTTAGTTTGAAAACAGGCCTGACAGTAACAATGAGCCTTTCTCCTATTCAAAACAGGTAGTGTCATACAAACTGCAACCCAGATACAATCCTGATAGGAGATTACACAAGATACCTGGGTAGGTATCTTTAAAGATTTCAGCCTCCATGTTAATAAATGCAGACTCAAGGATCCCCTTTCATCTCGACCTTATTCAGAGCACTCACAGTTCACATGAATGCCATACGGGCGGTACACTGCCCACTTTGATAATGAGAAGTAAAGCAGGATGATTTTTATAAAGGCTTGCTCGTGAAAAACTGGGTACACATTTTACACCATGGAACTTGTAAAGCAGAAAAGCAGGCACAGGCTGTATTCTTCTCTAACCAGAACCCCTTGTACTTTGCTCAACTTCTGGAAATTCATCAACATATCAAATACATAGTGCTATAGGTTTTTTTAAACAGACATACATGAACAATGCCTGTACTAGCTCATTTACCAGAGAAAAGATTTATGACTAAATTAGAGTTCATAGGCCATTCCAAAGATGATCCATGCAACTTCCTAAGTAATGACAGGTGCTAACCAAATCAACAAAACTATTTTTTACTCCCTTATTACTACCTCCATAGGCCACATTCTATAGAATATATGCATATATAGGATATAGCATATATGCCCCCTGGAATGCCTACCTTCCTACTCAAAAATGGATGTTCCTTACTTCCTTCCAATTTGGTTCAAACTCACTGTCAAGGTATGGAGACTCCTCAAAAACCTAGAAATGGATCTGCTGTATGATCCAGCCATCCCACTCCTGAGAATTTACCCAAAGGAAATGAAATCAGCATATGAAAGTTATCTGTACCTCCATGTTTATAGCCACTCAGTTTGAAATAGCTAAGCTAGGGAAACAACACAGATGTCCATTAACTGATGACTGGATAAAGAATATGTGGTATGTATACACTGTGGAATCCTATTTAGCCATAAAAAGAATGAAATCCTGTCTTTTGCAATGAAATGGAATCAACTGGAGATCATTATGCTTAGTGAAATAAGCCAGTCCTCAAACAGACAACTATCACATGTTTTCTCTGATCCTTGGTAGTTAATATATGGAGTACAAAAGCAAGAACAAAAATAAAAACAACCGTGTTAAGAGTGAAAACTGACATCCTACTATTTGATTATTGTTTATAGCACTTATCTATATTCCTGTGGAACAGTGGTTTTTCTGCTTTTTACTTTTGGACACTATATTTAGTTGAGCATTAAGCCTGTGATTATAAAATAAATTGAGAGTATGTTATTACAAAAATTAAAAGAAAAAGAAGAAAGGAAGGAAGGAGAAAGGAGAGAGGGAAAGGAGGGAAATATTACAATGTTCTTAGAAGTGTTTCTATGAAATCTGTTCTGTTATATTAATAATTACTTTACTTATAATAATTAATTTACTTTTTAAAATTAAAAAGTAAAAAAACCACCTCACTGTCCAAGAACATTTCCCTTAAAGTTTCACTTCAGGGTGGGGTATCTTGATATAGAATACTGTCAGCAAATGCTGACATGGACTCTCAACACAATGATAGATCAAGATCACAAAAGCAAATTTTATGCATGAATTGTAAATGTAAGAGATGTATATAATTTGTGGTTCATAAATGGAAATTATTAATTTTTATTTCTTTGGAGTCCAGACATGCATATGTAAACTCCAGATCACAATCCATATTTTGAGAAAATGCAGAAAATCAGAAGGTACAGCATTTAAGCCTTATCAGTACTTGGTGCTGAGCTGCAAATACAACATTTCTGGCAGTGAGCAGGTTCTCATCCTGCTCATTTCTCTCTGCCTTTTCATATAGGAGTTCCTTTTTAACACTTTCAACTGCATCCCTCTGTTCTGCCTTCCTCTTCAAGGCTGACACCCCTTATGACCCCCCTTGTCCTCTCAGTAGCTCCAATCATTTCCCACCTTTGCCACTTTAGTAGTTTTAGAAGTGAAAGTCAGTATTTTCCTTAAACTCTAAGCTTCCAGTGGGCATGAATCACACTGTCCACTTCTATATATCCACAACCTCATGGAGTGCCCAACACATGAGGGGGCTTACAATGTTAAAATACACATGGTTTTTCAAAACATCCATTTCCATGAAATTTTTGAAGACCCCTTGCATGTATGGATTCCAAAATATTTTGAACCAAAATAAACATATCTTTAATTCCGTTTCCTATAACTTTTTGAAGCATTCTCTTTGTGATATTCACTCTTGACAGATGCCTGCTGTTGAGAATTCTTTTTTTTTTTTTTTTTTTTTTGACAGGCAGAGTGGACAGTGAGAGAGAGAGAGAGAGAGAGAAAGGTCTTCCTTTTGCCGTTGGTTCACCCTCCAATGGCCGCTGCAGCCGGCGTGTTGTGGCCGGCGCACCGAGGTGATCTGAAGGCAGGAGCCAGGTGCTTCTCCTGGTCTCCCATGGGGTGCAGGGCCCATGCACTTGGGCCATCCTCCACTGCACTCTGGGGCCATAGCAGAGAGCTGGCCTGGAAGGGGGGCAACCGGGACAGAATTCGGCGTCCTGACCGGGACTAGAACCCGGTGTGCCGGCGCTGCTAGGCGGAGGATTAGCCTGTTGAGCCGCGGCGCCGGCCATTGAGAATTCTTAAGAATGCATTTTTCAAAGTCAAGCCATAATGCAGCTAGTGACATTCATTGGTTTATTGAGCCAGTTTATAGGTAAATTCATACCACAGATTTTGCACACTTAAAGTGAATTTCATTACTACTAGACAAGAAAGCTTCAATGTCATTCTTAGTGACTGTGAAGTTACAAAGCCTAGATGGAGGAGGAGTACAGAACACCTAAATCAGAGTGCTCATGATGTTGTACTTAATTTTATGCAATATTTCATAATCTCAGTCTCTCAACTTTTTTTTTTTTTTTTTTTTTGACAGGTAAAGTTATAGACAGTGAGAGAGACAGAGAGAAAGGTCTTCCTTCCGTTGGTTCACTCCCCAAATGGCCGCTACGGCCGGCACTGCGCTGATCCGAAGCCAGGAGCCAGGTGCTTTCTCCTGGTCTCCCATGCGGGTGCAGGGAGCACTCGGGCCATCCTCCACTGCCCTCCCAGGCCACAGCAGACAGCTGGACTGGAAGAGGGGCAACTGGGACTAGAACCCGGTGCCTATATGGGATGCTGGCGCTGCAGGTGGAGGATTAACCAAGTGAGCCACAGCACAGCCCCTCAACTTCTTTTTCTACTAGTATTTTTTTCCCTTGGTAATTAAAAGTTACTCTAATTTAAAAAGCAATGCAAAAATATTTTAAGTTATTGCCACTTTATTTTGAAGGCCAAAAGGACTATGATATGTAAAAGCAAAGCAGATGAGATGACAGTCCTCGTTTATTAGGGTGACAAAAGAATGGGAACAGGACCTTGGCTGACAGAAGCTTTTATAAGGCAATGAGGACAAAGAAATCAGGAACTTTCCAAAATACCATACGGGCAGCCAGAGAAGAAAACGAAAATTGGAGCCAATTTCACCCAATGCATTAAGCTGCTGTTTAATTGCTTTCCCCCCCTGGTTTTGGTTTTTGAGTATTAACACCTCGAGATATTCCCCCAACTTCATCTCAGGCCGTATTTTGATCTTCTCCACTCTTACACTTTGATAACAACAGCTTCTTATCAAAGTCTTTTCTCCTTGTCTTATCATTCATCCACTTCCCTCCTTATTGATCATCAGACCATGAAAGAGACAATGGATGGCTTACTGGTCAATACAGAGTGCAGACATCCCTTCTACTTAGTCCACCGGGTCTGTCGATCTGCCATGGGGGAAACTGGCTGCTCAGGGAAGCAAGCTGATACCCACACAGAAATCTGTGATTCAAAATGTCTGAATAGGGATTTCGGAACTTTGCAAAGTACTTTCTGCAAAATATCTAAATGAAATTGATGGGGGCTATCACTTTAAAAGCCTGCCTTCTTTGCATTTTTGAAGTAAAATACCAAATTTGTCCCTTCCCAGTCTAGCTTTTCTTACGACAGCCACTCAGTCCTGATTTTCCTTCCCTACCACACACAAAATGAAAATAAAAACCAGTCTGTCAAAGCAGACAACCCGGCACCTAAGAAGTGCGCACAAATTAACAAAATGTTCAGCACACGCAGAAAAGTCCCCTCTTTCAAATGTGCTGGAATTCAGTGACTGACGGACAGAGTTTTCACACACCTGCATCAGAACACTAGATTAGATCTCAGTCCACAGGCTGAGAAGCGGTGCATCAGAACACTACAATGGTAACACTGCTGCCATGGAGGTGGAAGAATATCTGAGGTCACATCTTCTTCACGCTGACTGCCAGAACCAGGCTTGAAGGGCACTTTGGTCAAGTCTGAATGGGCTGACCAGAGAAAACCTATTTGCAATGGGCTACTCAGCCATTTAATAACACCAAGAGTTATCAGGGCTGGGCTGTGGCACAGTGGGTTAAACCACTGTTCTATGGTGCTGGCATCCCATATGAGCACTGGTTCGAGTACTGGTTGCTCCACTTCTGATCCAGCTCCCTGCTAATGCACCTGGGAAAGCAGCAAAAGACACTCCAAGTGCTTGGGTCTCCTGCATCTGTAGGGGATCTAGAAGGAGCTCTTGCCTCCTGGCTACTTAAAGAGAGAAGGAGAGAGAGAGAGAGAGAGAGAGAGAAAATTTTCTATCTGTTAGTTTACTCCCCAAATGGCTGCAATGGCTGGGACTGGGCCAGACTGAAGCCAAGAGCCAGGAACTGTTTCTGGGTCTCCCACATAGGAGCAGGCCCCAAGGACTTTGGACATCTTCATTGCTTTTCCAAGCTATTAGCAGAGAGTTGGATTGGAAGAAGAGCAGCCAGAAGTTGATTTTCAAGTTATGTGCTCATTCTCATGTTGAAAAACCGCACAAACTGTAAAGTGGCTGCTTTGCATGCTTTGAATGAAGTCTGCATTGGTCAAAACGAGCTGACCTTGCGGGTTCATGTAGCCCATGTTAGTCAATGATGAGTCTTATATCCTGATCATACATGCTGTTAGAGCCCTACATTCTAATCAAGTAAATTTTAGGTTATGCTAAAAGTTTCACAAATTGGTGAAAGAGAATTTTTAAAGTCATGCATTTTCTAGTTTTTTTCTTTCTTACCCTAAAATCTCTCTTTGATCTCTAGACTATTTCCTTTAAACATAAAAAGAGAACATGAGTAAATGCCAATATTTATTTGGGTATTTCTTCCTAAACCGATTCCTATTCCAGACCAGCTCAGTAAATGACACTACCCAGACGTTCAGGCCAAAGATCGATGAGTCACCCTTCATCCTGCCATCCTCTCGCTTCCTGTATCTAAATGACTGGGTTGGACATTTCTTCCCCTCTCCACCTTACCACACTGTCCAAGCCACCGTAATCTGCTGCCTAGGCTACTGCAACAGCTTCCTGGGTGGTCAGCTGGTTCCACTCTTTCTCTCCTACCAGTCCACATTCTCTATCAAACAGGGACTGTCACTCCCCAGCTCAAGTGGCCCATGGCACTTGCAACAAAGCTGAAACCTGGACTCCAGTTATCCATGCCCTTGCCTATCATCTCGTTGTTCTACATCCTTGAGCTGACCTGGCCTTCCACCTATTCAGTAAACAGGAGCACTCTTTTTGGGTAGGCCTAGAACAAAGAAGCAATTTGTGAGTCCTCAAGTCAGACATAAATTCAGGAGCCTTTCCCGAGGGCAAAGGAAATAGGCTCACTGTATTCAGGACCACGCATCATTCCTGGTATTTCTACTAAAAATGCCAATGTATCATTAAGTCTAGGAGAAAAGCAGCAGATTAGTTAAAGTCCCACAAAATACACAGGGACAGTGAAGAGCATGATTTCATTCTTTACATGTTGTATTTAGTTTTGCCTAATGAGTAACAGGAGATTACTAACATAATGTTTCTTGTACATTTCTGTACTTGGAAATGTCTAGACAGGGACTGACTCAAGAGTTGCTGTTACTCTGTTACGTACAAAAACGCACTGGTGAGTGTCCACTTAACAGTGCCAGGTTACTTCCATGGGCAATTTTACTGTTTAAAATAATTCTCTGTTTTTGTTCTCACTTGGGCTTGGCTGAAAGTGCTTCTGTTAGAAAGGGAAAATGATCTTAGAATAGGTTAGTTTGGCTCGTCACAGGAGGATCCGAACACCACTGTTCCAGGACTTCCATTGTGATACACAAAATGCTGACCCTGACTACATGCTAGCAATGATGAACTGTTTTCCTCATTAACGGCAGGCAACATAAACCCTTAAACAACACATTTTGCATAGATTCTGTCTGACAGAGCACTGGTAATTTCACACCTTCCAGGAACTTGAAGAAACCACATTAGTCTGAGAAAATAAACTGTTATATATGTCATAAGTATTATATCGATTGTTACTCAGTAAAAATTGCAAATAATGATTTTATTGTCAGTTTTGTAATAAATTAAAAAAGTTTAGGATGTAAAGAAGCAGAACAGAAACTTCAGCATTAAATTTTTTTGGTATGTGGAGTCAAGTATAAAGATGAAAATCTTAGTTAAAAAGTAATCTTGGATGATGAACTGAACTAATGTAGAATTTCAATGTTATTTGAGAATTTGTTCTAAGTGGTAAATAAGAGCTGGGACTTATGTTCTTAAAAAATCTTTATGTATGATCAAAACCAGTCCCAACACTTGATTAACAAAAAGTAGGATTTGCAACTCTAATAAGAAACTGAAAATGCCATCAGTTTTTATGTTATTAAAAATGAAACAAAATTTGACTTATAGAAAGAAATTTTGGATCTGTGGTACTTGTTTCTTTCCAGAAATTTTGAGATGACTTCTCAAATTTTCAAACAAGATCTTGTACTGAAAAAGAGGTTCAGAAAAATACCATGTTAATATACTGAGACCTTTTCATTTTTATACCGCATGGTTGGTCACTGATATAAATGATCATTTAGACTCAAATTTTTTATGTTAAAATTTTTATTGGGGCCAGTGCTGTGGCACAGCAGATTAAGCCACTGTCAGCAGCTCCAACATTCCATATGGGCATTGGTTGGAGTCTGGATGCTCCACTTCTGATCCAGCTCCCTGCTAATGCACCTGGGACAGCAGCAGAAGATGTCCCATCTCCTTGGGCCCCTGCACCCACATGGGAAACGTGGAAGAAGCTCCTGGCCTCAGCCACAGCAGTGGCAGCATTTTGGGGAGTGAGCCAGTGGATGGAAGATCTCTCTCTCTCTCTCTCGTTCTCGCTCTCGCTTCTTTGCTTTCTCTCTGTCTCTCTATAATTCTGACTTATAAATAAATCTTAAATTAAAAAAATTATTTTCATTTTATTTGAAAGGAGAAGTGGGGGTAGCAGGCAGAGAAAGAGAGAAATATCAATCTTCCATCTCTTGGTTTATTCCCCAAATGTACAACAGCCAGGGCTAGACCAGGCTGAAGCCAGGAACCTGGAACTCAATCGGGGCTCCTACGTGGATGGCAGGGATACAAATCCTTGCGCCATCATCTACTGCCTCCCATGGCACAGGAAACTGAATCAGAATCTGCTTCTGAGTGGTGTCGCTGGGATTTTGAACCAGACACTCCAACATGGGAAACAGGTGTCCCAAGCAGTGACTTAACCATAGCAACAAATGCTTGCCCCTAGAGTTAAGCTTTAAATGAGAGGGGAATAGTACTTGGCCTACAGATAAGGATGCCTACATCCCAAATCACAGAACTTGGGTTCTATCCCCAGCTATCTACTGAATCCTGCTTCCTGTCAATGTAAATCTTGGGGGATTTGCAGTGTTGGTTCAAGTAATTGGGTTCCTGTCACCTACAAGGGAAACCTGGAATGAGTTTCTGGCTCCCAGCTTAAGCCCTGGCCCAGCCCTGGTCACTGCAGGCATTTGGGAAGCAAATCAGTATATGGGGGCAATCTCTCTCTCTCTCTCTCTCTCTGATAAGTAAAAAGAATTTTTAAAACTTTCAATGGGAAGATAAAAAAAGAAAAGGATAAAACTAGAAGACAATATGAGGAAAAACAGAAATGTTAAAGAGGTACTAACGTTTAGTCACCTCAATGGAAAGAGCAAGTTAGTGTGTAGGTATGATAGTACTTACTGGCTAAGGGGATGGTAAGTTTGAGGAGCAGCATGTCAGTCCTACTTCAGAGGAATTTATTGTACCATTACCTTCCATAGGTGGGTCTAAATCATGTTGAGAATTATCTCCAAATCTTAAGAAAATCTTTTGTTGCTGTATCACGATCAACCATCATTCTCCTACATAACACAACATACACACATATGAACATCAAACAGTTCCAAGGTTCTTCCTAGATCTGGCTAGGGCATGACAACATTCAATGTTTTTTTACATGATGAGACTGAGAACCAAATCAATGAAAGGGTTAACCACATTTTGGCAGTAGTCTCCAGAAAGTAGTGACAGAAATGTTGCTGCATGCACCACTGATATTCTAGTGCATAAAAAGCATTTCTTGAGATAATGAGGAAAAGAAGAAAGAACAATTAAGGATGATGGGCAAAGAAGACTTAAAGAAATACTAACCACAAAATTCAGACCAGAAGTAAACTGTAATTAAGTTGGAAGAAAAGAGAATTTAAGAACTCCATATTTACACTAAAACCATTATTTACAAGTCTGATCTGGAATTAGTTATTATTAATCTTTAAATAATTCAGAAAATTATAAAAGGGCATAATCTGATTTGATTCTTTTAACCCTATCCCCAGAAGTTTCACATTTGAGCATGAAGTTATCCTTGGCCTCTCATTACTACCTGGTCTGTTTGTAATTTTAGTCATTGAGGAAACCAAACCAAACTAAAGCAAGTCAAGTCAAACCAAGCCAGAATTCACCTTGTTCACTAACAGCAATATACATAAAAGAGTTTTCTCTAGGTAATGAAATGCAACAGATTTCTTCAGTGTATCACTTGGAAAAGGAAAGGTTTTTCGAAATTAATAGAATATCTTTCATTTTCTTCTCGTTCCATTAAGCTTTCCTACTTTACAATCTGGATTTTATATATAGCTAGTAGAATCTACATTTCAAGTGTGAGGGAATTTTAAATGAAATAATTTAAAACGGAATGTTTTTAAGCAGCACTGCTCGCTGACACTGATGATTTTGTTTTGGGATACAAAATATAAAACCATTTCCTCAAGATATTTTGTGTTCAGCATAAAATATTTAAAATGTCTCATTTCCAAGAGATCTGGTGGGAGTTCGTGACAGATGTGTTATTTCTTTCTTTCTTTTTTTAAAAACAGCATTATTGTGTCTAATTAGCACTGATGATTTACCCATGGCAGCCTGAACTTCTTGAGAGGAAAGTAGACCAGCTTCTTTGGAGAAAAGAACAAACTGGAATACGATGGGAGGAAGCTTTTTTTTTTTTTTTTTAAATATATTTTGCAGCGAATGCTCACAAATAGCCCACAGAGAACTCATTTATTTATGCATCACCATATGATCAATCCACTTGCCTTTAGTCTCAAATAGAGAAAGCCTCAGTACAAGGCATTCTCCAGGTGTGAGTATAGGTTTGTCATTATTTCCTATTTATAGACTCTGTCTAGTAAAAGAAGACAAATTACTGTAAGTGGGGGTAAATGTGATTAAATGAGTCCTCTGAAGATAAGAGGGTACATGGACAAGGGTCATTAACACAAGTGACCTCTCTTTGTCCAGATCATAATTTTGTTTAGTGGATTTGAAAACACTGCTAAGCAAGAGTGATTTCTACTACACACACCCAAAGAGAAATGTATCCCTTAGGATTCTCACAAACATTTTCATGTCTTTGCAGGATTTCAATAACACACCGATAGTGCTAAAATATTCCCAAAATACACCAAGAGCAACACTGGAGAAATCGTTTGTCCTAAAGAGTCTAATCAGAAAGACTCAAGAGACAGTTAAAATCAGACCAGATATAAGGCCTAGAATGTAAGTTAGTAGATACCAGGATCATCTGAATCAAATCAGAAGTCTAAATTTATAAAGTTTCAATTAAAACATCTACACTCTTTCTTTCACCTGATTGTAGCCCCACATGGCAAGGTCAGCCCTTTCAGTGGACAAGCAGCTCAGTCGCCTCCAGTGTAGCTGTTATCTTCCTCAACAAGGGGGGACGTTCGGCACAGCCTAAAGCTGGGGCATGAACCCTGGCTAAGCTTAAGACATTTATCTGACAGCATCAGCTGACACTCCACAAACACGTTTGCTCTCCATGACCTCGGAGCATTCGTGATTAATCAAAAATGTATCTTGGATCTTGAGAACAAGCTACAACCAGGCACACACAGAAAAGAATATGCTCTCCATCTCGCTTATCGACTCAAGAGGTATATTGAATTTAGAAATAGCAAATAGAATAAAATGATCAATATGTTCTCACTTGTCCATGGAAGAGCAAACTTTATCCCTCAAGCAAAAGACATTGATCATGTAAATGTTTCAGAACTGCTTTCAAAGGAAAGAAAGCAAAACGCACATGGTTTCTTGGGACTTGGGAAGGCGGCCTGCCAAAGAGGAGTTTTTGCTTTAACTTAAAGAAAAGAAAAAGAAGCGCTTCACGTGTTATGTTTGTAGAATGTCGTACTTTTAAAAAACTACGTGTTCAACTTAAAACCTGTTTTGGTAACGTGTTGCCAAATGTTCTTAATAAAACCTTATAAAGGAAACTTTAAAACTTAATGAAGGAGATTATTTGTGTGGAGAAAACTCCCTGCCTTAATTTAAATGAGACACAGTTATAACATATCCCCTATGCACTGTTTACAATTTACACTTTATAATTTATGTCTCTTGATTCAAACTCGCTCTTTTCTGCAGTCATCTGCTAAGTAATAAGATTAGCATGTGGATATTGTAATATTCTGCTCCCCAACACAGTATAATTTAGTATATATTTTATTTTTGTTTATACTTTTCACTTTCTAATAACAATGCTGAACTCTAATGAAAGCAACAGAAGTCATACGCCCCACCCTTGATAATAAGAAAATGCTTATTATTTTTTGAAACTGTCTACAATTTAATTTATTAAATCCCATTTTTGCCTGATTACCCACTTGGTTAGGCTGCAGTTGTTCACGATCCTACGGCAGGATCGTTCCACTACAGAAAAACTCCATGTTCTGGTCCCTGTTGGCATGGCAAACAAACTTTCATAGCGTGTGCTCGCTCTATAAAATGGTGGTACTAATTAGAAGATATAAACTCATGCTGAGACATGGTATGAATTGGCTTTATGTATCTACTAAAGTCACAGCGGTACTAGATTTATACTGTTGTTGCTTTAAACTAACACTAAACAGAAAATTCAACCTCTAAATATGGATGATAAGAAAGCAAAAGTGATTGAGCTGAGAAAACAAAACCTCAGCCCCTCATTTTTTGGTTTCACTGCTAAAATGCTTCCTGTGCACTTCGAGGTTGCCCACCATTTTCTCCCATATGTTTACCTAACTTAAATTCTTCAAACATGAATTGCAAGTACCAGATAGCACAGCTGTATGTTTTGACATCCATGGTGAAAATGAGCAGAAAATCTAACTGTTCCATATCAAGAAGTATTTTTACTAGTGCTAATGTGCCTTAAATACCTTGTTCCACAGATGAGTGGCCTGGCACCTGCTGCATGAGAAATAGCCAATTACTGTTCAGTGTCTCTAATTTTCTGATTCAATTAGCATGCTTCAGAGCTTTCCAGTTTAATTGCAAACTACTTCACAGTTAGCTCTCTGATTAATCATTGCCCATCTGCAAGCCATCGGAAAACTTAGTGGAACAAATTTGTGTACTTTGGAATGCTGGGAGCTTAGCAAATCAAACTTGTTTTGGTATATAGAGCTTTAATTTTGTTTGCCCTTTTCAGTTGCACTTGTAAGAAGCTCTGTACTGATTAAACAGGAAGCCTGGACAATAATATGCTACATTATGCATATAATTACTGTAAATACAACCGAGATTGTAGAAACATCGTTTAAGGTTAGGCACTAACACGAATGCAGAAGGGGGTCAAGAAAACACATTTGGAATCAATTTCTTCCCATTATGACCAAATACAAGTATCGAGGGGGAAAAAAAGCTGTGTGACACCCAGTGATGTCACTGCAGCACCTGGTCCCCTGAAGGCATTTTAAATTCTGGCTTTTCATGGAGTCATAAAATCTTTCTTGTTATTTAATTAGTAGAGTACTAACTTTTATAAGCTTTGTTTACAAAACATATATTAGGGATTTTAAAGCAAACCAGCACCACATTGTTTATGCTTCATTTTCCAAGCTTTCTTGCTGGTCCACTGAACATCTGAATGATAACGTCAGAAAACCGAAGTGTTTCAGCGGAGCTTTGGCTAGGTTTTAGATTGTATCTTAACTGATGGTCATGATTTCCTCACTTATGAACAATGAAACCTGAAGTGCATATTTTGTTCGCTCCCCTGAACAAACCCCATGGAGGGCATTCCTCACTGTAGGAGGACAGAGGCTCTGCAAACTACTCCAAAGCCGTTTCCAATTCTCAGGGTTTCTGGTTCACACCTAACAAAATTTGGAATTGGCCAATGTAATTCCTGAAAGCTTCTAAACAGATTTACTGTGTAAGAGTTTTTATGTCTCAGAGGAAACTTTAAGCCCAGGGAGAGCAGGGGTTGTGTCTAGCTCGCTGCTGTTTCATTGGTGCCTAAAGGAGGGAATGCACGTTTTTGGCGGTGAACAAAAATTTGCTGGATGAAGGAAATGAAAATGGTGTGGGCTCTCAATTTTCCAGGTCATGTCACTGTGCCAGGCTGCACACTGTGCTTTTCTTCTGCAGCCAACAGGATGCAGTCATGTTATCTCATAAAGATGTTGACAAGTATCATCCTCCTATAAATATCTGGCTGAAGGAAAGAAGGGTGCTGTGCTAATTATGATGACCCATAACAATCGGCCGCTAAAAGACGTGAAAAAGAGGATTTCCTCATCTTTTCTGAAGAGCCTTAACATATTACGGAAATGTACAAAAGTTGATAGTTAAAACCTGATAGCTCTAAAAATAGTGTTCAAGTTGGAAAAATGATTTTTGAAAACTGTCCGACACTTAAAGTTTTTTCTTTGAAAGCCAGAGATATTCAGGGTTGTGGGACTGACTCTATTAAGAGAAGACACATATGAGACCAAGATTCCCGAGCTTTCTAAAAGCTCCTTTTCTGTCTCCCTCTGTTGTGGGCTGACTTCAAGCTTCTCTGAACTTTGTAGGCAGCCAATGTCAGAAGCGCCGAGAAGGCGGAATGTGATGCTAGAAGCTGAGGCGAGTGGGCAGGCCTGCTGCCACACTCTGCTGCCTGGAGCGGGCCAGGAGCTGGAGTCCCTGTGAAGATCAAATTACAAAATAATCAAGCTCTGTGGCCAGGCGGGCACGAGAGGCTACTGTGAGGTCAGGAGATAAATCAGGGCCAAGCCTGGGCAACACTGGGCAGTCAAAAATAACATTTTTGTACCACCCTTACAGCATGGTTCTCTGTGGAAAATAGACTGTGGAATGATGCTCAGGTTTTTTCATTCAGGAAAGGGCAAATGGCTCTCCCCGCACAAACTCCCACCCGCTCGAGCCTTGTGTTTGGAGATAAGCAATTAAACTCCACACATCAAAGAAAAACAATGGGCTGTCCAAAATGGAAAGTAGCCAAGGAGAGGCCAAACCGGGCCTTGGTCCCTGTCCTGGGGTTCTCATTCCTACCTCTACCTCCTACCCACTGTGTAGCCGAATGTCTCTGTGTATCAGAGAGAATCAAAACCACAACTGAGTGGCTAATGAGGGAAAATGACTGCAAAGCACACTGAAAATGCCTAAAGCACCCAAATGTGTTTCGAGAGGGGGTGCACATCTCGGGCCAAAGGAGCCACTTCCAGAAATAATCCCATTATGCAGACACACAGCATACTCTTTGGGAAGCTGGCTCGCTCCTGTAGGATGTCACCACACACCAGATAATACTACTGATTCTACAGAGAGCTGTTCACTTTATATAACGTCCCTGAGAAGTGTAGCATGATAGAAGCACAGAATTCAGTTAGCCTTGCGTTAGGAGAGAAATACAGAGTCAAGGCGGAGATCTCTGAGAGCAACTGCAGGGCTCCCAAGGAAGTATAATTTGGCAAACTTCTGTGGGGGGCAGACATATATGAAAGATGACAAGCAAATACACAAACAGGAAAAAAGCCAAGACGCGGTACAACCCAGACTTGTTGGTAGTGACAGTCCCAGGCATAGCCGCAGATCAACGGACATCATTTGGAGATGCCACCAACAGGGGCTTCAAAGAAATCCTCTGAGGTGGTCGGACGTGAACTGAGGGCTACAGGGAGGTTTTAGACTTGTTCTCTGAGACAGAGGAATTATTACCAATAATCTTGTCACTCAGTATTGCTTTCCTTAGACACGAACACCATTTGCATCCCATAAATTCAAACACTGCTTTTATCTCTTAAAAGGTGAAATATAAGTGACTATAAAGTTCATAGGAATTAAAAAAAAAAAAAGAAAATAAAGGCATCAAGTAGTTGCTTTCTTTAGATAGGGAATCTTACAAGAGATATGAAATTCAACATCTACTGTACTTTAAGCCTATATCTTATTGATAATTTAAAATTATAATTAGTGTTCTTGGGACCGAATGCTACATAGAAAACTAAATATGCACATATGTATGAGATGTGAGATGCTGCTGCAGGAGAGAAATACCCTATTTTTAAAGCAAAAAAAAAATCCTAGTGAAGTCTATCCTTTCATTTATATGTCTCATGTAAATTACACATAATTTAAAATCTTCAACACATTGAAAATGGCCAGGTCTCATGGCACTTCTTTATTATCCTCTGTTTTCACTCAGTCATAGCACTGGGGACTTTCTAGAAATATTTAGGAGTTAAAAAGTATATAATTTGAATTGAATCAATGAATGACCACTAGAAAAAATATTTTTATTTATGTAATCTGGTTAAAAAATATATGATTTTTCTACTCTAAAGGCATTTTCTTATGCAGTAACACCACAAAAATAGCTTAAGTTTAAAATAGTGGATTTCCCATATGGTTAGTCCACAGCAAGATAAAGTTGTAAATGAGGGGACTATGTGAAGAAAACATAAAAAAGCCTTAAGGGCACATGCAAAAAATGTGATATTGAATGATTTACATACGCAATTTTATTTCCCAAAATTCAAAGAGAAAAACTTAATATGTCATAATCTAAACTGTATTTCATATCAAGTATTCCTGATTTTGTATTTAACTCTAAGATACATAACTCAATTTAGAGCACAATGTGGGAGAGGAGTTAGTAAGAATCTAACCTTTTGCATTTCTTGACTTTTTTGGGCTTGTGGTAATGTTGTATTTATAGAGATTCCACACTTTCAAATTTAAGTCTTGAAATGTCAGAAAAATCCCAAAGCTGAGATCTCACAGAAGGTGATTTTTAACAGTCCTTAAAAGTAAAGACTTTATGATCTTCTGACAACTGGAGCTCTTGCATTTTAAGATTTAAAATTTTTGATCCTAATATTATATATGCATATATATTAGTACATTTTAAAAGATCCAATCACCTTTGAAAGGCCCAGAAAAGTGAAGAAAATACAAAAACAGAAAAAGTTGTGAAGTCCAGGAATATTATAGACGTACAAATATAAAGAAGCAGATACTTAAGACTGTTTTTAACTGTGGTCCTTCATAACATATTTCCAATGTAACAGAAATCAAAATATCTGCTTAATTTTCACTATTTATTTTAATGAAAAACGGAGCTCTCCCTATATTTTGGATTGGAGCTTGGATGAGGAAACAGACTGAGAGCATTAGTGACACAGTGCCAGTGAGTTTTATACACCTAGAATACACCAAGTGTCCGGTCTTTAAGTTTCTTTACCATGCCTGTTCAATTTTACCCATACATAATGTCTGTGTTTCATTTATGTTCAATATATTCTGCTCTCAGCTGTGTGACCACAGGTAACTCAAAAACTCTTCAGTTTTCTCATTATTTTCAATAAATATTTTTCTGCCATTTACTATGTGTCAGGAATAGAGATTACAGGCCGTAAGACATGGGCTAATCCCATTCCTGGGTATTTTATGGTATAGTGAGGGAGAGAGGATTGGTGAACGAATGCCATTAAGGGCATTACTAGCCTAGGAAAGTCTCAAAGACAATGGTGACTTTCAGTTTCTAATTACCAGCATGAAAGATAGGGTCTGGATTAAAGGACATTTCAGTTTCTTTCTTAAAAAAGAGAATTTCAAATTTGCCTCTACTCTTACCATTTCTTAGTTAGACTTACAAATAAGTTGGTAACTGATAAATCCAGAAATTCTGGGGCTTCAGTGGAACTTGGCAGGTTGGCGATTAGATATGTACTCAACAAAGCCTTTTGTATGCAAATAAATTTGTGAAATTATCAGTTTCTTTGGTATCAGTATTTAATGTATTAATGTACATTGTAATTCAATGAGAAAGATTTAATATAGTGTTTTTTTTTTTAAATCAAGAAAATAATCCCCCAAAGAAGAGATGTTATTACTGTCTCTACATTATCAGAAAATTATATTCTAAGTGGTATAGTTTGGGGAACACTACCACCCCGACTCCTGTACTATTCTCTAAGCTACTCTTCACCAACCCATCCTACACATGCATGGTTACATAATCATTCTAACATGTGGCATTCATCAGACCTCCCAGTGCGAAAACCTCCAGGGACTCTTTGTGGCCTACAAAACACAGTTCAATCTCTTTAGATCCTGTAGATGTGGCTTTTAAGTTTAACTTTTTCATTCACAATTCCCTTAAACAAACTCCAGCCAAAATGCCACTAAGTTACCATGCTCTGTCTGCCTTGGACTCTACTGCTTTTCTTTGCCAGGCCAAAGACAAGAGCATGGAACTACACTCGGGTCTCCCTTACGTGTGGCAGGGGCCAAAGCTGCTGCTGCTTTCCCAGGGACATGAGCAGGAAACTGGATTACAAGTGGAACAGCTGGGCTCCAACTGGAGCAGCAGTTTAACTTGCTATGCCACAACACTGGCCTCTCAACTTTGATTTCTGACATATCCTAATTGTTGATATAATCAAAATACTGGTAAAGCAGTGATTTCTTTTTTAATCTAAATACTCTTACATGGCTTCAGCTAATTACCCATGAAAGACTAGACAGTCTGTATTCAAAATGAGATCCCTAACCCAATGAAGAAATTTTAAACTACAAGGAAGGTGATTTGATAACAAACATTTTAAAAGGTCACCTGTTGGAATTAATAAATTAGTTTGACAAAACTGTAAAGTACTTCACAGTTTGTCTCTTAATTTTATTGCACAGTATAACTTTTTCAAAAACATTATTCACAATCCATTAGATCTTTCCCACTGAGAAAAACTGTTCAATGCATAGTTGTATTTGTCATTGCCACATTAATCCTGAATTTTGGATAAAATCTAACTTCAGATAATACAAGGCCTCAGTGGCTTGGTAACTGATAAAAAGTCTTGTTTTCATATGCAGAATTTCACCTTCTAATAACTGAAAGAAACAGCTTTTGAATAAATTTTGGTTAGGATAAAGGTTTTTCTTTTTCCATTTTCAAGTAAGATATTAGCTTAGATAAAAATGAACTTTTAAGATGTAAAAATAGCAGCACTCTTTCTGAATATGCAGTATTTTTAATCATATTATATAATGTTTAATAGTTTATCAATGTTTTTGAATGTTAGTAATTACTTTACCATGTCTGGTTCTTGTGTGAATGTACATATACTTCTTCCTTTTAAAAAAGTCCTGGTTGGAGGCTCTGAAAGGTATGAGCCATGATAGCAATGACCCTGTGAATCCTTTTGTCACTATAATCCAGGAGTTAGGACCTGTGCCTGGCATACAGTAAACACTCAATAAATGTTTGTTAAATAAATGAATTACTAGAATGTACACCCTATGAATAAAATGAGTATATTTGATGGTTTGTTAGCTAGGAATTTGGTCTTTGGGGTCAGATGTGCAGTGTGTGAATTCTGGGTGCAGACTTTTTACCCATGAGCCTTCTCTAATTGTATTTCCTCAGTCGCAAAATGGAATAGAAGAATCTGCCTCATACAGTTACTAATCCACATAAATACCTGGCACCCAGGGAGTACTCACTACGTGTTAGCTGCTTTCGTCATCAACATTATCATTATCTTCTTCATTTGCCTGTTCACCACTTACTTCCTGTTGTAAGCGCATAGCATTTGCTCAATAAAAATTCATTAAGTGAAGACATTAATCAATGATGTACAGCTGTTCCTGCATACACAAATATGTATCACTACCTCAATATACCTTTGGCCAAGATTCAAATAGCAATTAAAACAAACAAGCCAAGATTCCAAGTTAGTGTGACTTTTCTGAATTGTCCTTATTTGAATCTGCTTTTTAGAAATCTAGTCACACAGTTCCTTGTAGAATAAATGTGCTATTTATTTCCTTTTTGAATTTCTGGTAGTGTTTCAAACACACATTTGTATCATTTATACTAAAAATATTATGGTGAGCAATTAAGTCTCAAGGTAAAAAAACAAATTACATAGATGAAAGAATGGTCAAATGTTAGCATTCTCGCAATGTTGAAGTATGTTTTCTTTTTTTTTTTTTTTTTTACTTTTTTGACAGGCAGAGTGGACAGGGAGAGAGAGAGACAGAGAAAGGTCTTCCTTTGCCGTTGGTTCACCCTCCAATGGCCGCTGCGGCCAGCATGCTGCGGCCGGCGCACCGCCCTGATCCAAAGCCAGGAGCCAGGTACTTCTCCTGGTCTCCCATGGGGTGCAGGGTCCAAGCACTTGGGCCATCCTCCACTGCACTCCCTGGCCACAGCAGAGAGCTGGCCTAGAAGAGGAGCAACTGGGACAGAATCCAGCGCCCCAACCGGGACTAGAACCCGGGGTGCTGGCGCCGCAGGCGGAGGATTAGCCTATTGAGCTGTGGCGCTGGCCACTATGTTTTCTTAACAAACTAGTTTGCAACATATATGCTTCTTGTAATACTGCTACACATTAAAGTGTCCCAGGAGGACTGTTACTTCTACACTTTGTTTTGAAATGTTAAGTTCTGCTTTCAGCTTTTAAAAAGAAATTCATTATTTTATTTTATTTATTTGAAAGGCAGAGACAGAGACAGAAGGAGAAAAAGAGAAAGAGATATCTTCCATCCACTGGCTCACTCCTCAAAAGGCCACAATAGCCAGGACTAGGCCAGGCCAAAGCCAGGAGCCAGGACCTTCTTCTAGGTCTCCCATGTGGGGGGCAGGGGCCCAAGCACTTGGGCCATCTTCTGCTGCCCTCCCAAGCTCATTAGCAGGGAGCTGGATTGGAAAAGAAGCAGCCAGGACTGGAACCAGTGCCCATATGGGATGCTGGCATAGCAGGCGGCAGCTTCACCTTCTGTGCCACAGTGCTGGCCCCTAAAAAATGTTTGTTTATTTGTTTTTCATCTACTTGAAAAACATAGAGAGAGGAGAGCAAGCAACTGGTTCACTTCCCAAATGCCCTCATTAGTCAGGGCTGGGCCAGGCTGAAGCCCAGAGCCTTAAAACTCCATCAGGCCTCTGCTCACGTGGGTGGCAGGGGCCAAGCACTTCGGCCATCATCTGCAACCTCCCAGGAGGCACTAGCAGCAGGAAGCTGGATTGGAAGTGGTGTAGCTACGACCTGAACAGGCACCATAATATGAGACGCGGATCCTCAGTAGCTGCTTAATCCGCTGTGACACAATGCTTGCCCCTCCTATTACACTTCCTAACGTAAAACTGCAGCTGACGTTCTGTAACAACTTATGAGTTACATTGCTGGGGCGGTGCTGTGGCACAGTGGGTAAAGCCACAACCTGTGGTGCCAGCATCCCATATGGGCGCCAGTTCGAGTCTTGGCTGCTCCACTTCTGATCCAGCTCTCTGCTGTGGCCTGGGAAAGCAGTGGAGGATGGCCCAAGTCCTTGGGCCCCTGCACCCCTGTGGGAGACCTGGAGGAAGCTCCTGGCTCCTGGCTTCGGATCAGTGCAGTTCCAGCCATTCTGGCCAATTGGGGAGTGAACCAGCAAATGAAGACCTCTCTCTCTGCCTCTCCTTCTCTCTCTGTGTAACTCTCACTTTCAAATAAATAAATAAATCTTAAAAAAAAAGTTACATTTCTGTGAACAGCCTCATTGTGAGTGGACAAGAAAAGTGTCAGGTCATGAGGCTTTGAAATATTTATTTTGTCATTGACTTATAAATCATTTTAGAACTCAGATTTGTGATATTTCTCATCAGAAGTGTTTTATATTAAATGAACTAACAGGTTTTCTAATTTATCTTGAACTTTCCTTAGAAAAGATGCTATGAGATTATAGAGTAGCCTTGTTATATTTAAGGCTTATATTAGATTTTTAAATTTATAAAATAAATATAAACGTTAACAGCGAAAGCTAAGCCACTGTGGCAAAATAAACCAAAAGAGTCCTACATGAAGGATCCCTGTGAGTGAGACCCCAGGGGGAAGAAGGGGCCTTCAAAGAAGGATGTACTTTTCTCTGAAGGGAGGAGAGAACTTCACTTTGTTTATGGCCCTGTCTAAACATGGATGGAGGTCATGGACACAAAAGGCTTCCATAGCCTTGGCAGCTCATGACAGGATCACTGGTATCATACATAAGAGTGTTAATTGTTAAATTAACAACAGGAATCACTGTGCACTTACTTCCCATTCAGGACCTCTGTCCTCAATGAGTTGTACTATGAAAATTAACTGTAAAACTTTTTCTCAAATAATTCTTTATACTTTGTGTGTGTGTGTGTGTTGGTGCACATTGTTGAAATCTTTACTTAGTATAGAGTTGGTCTTCTATATATAAAGGTAATTAAAAATGAACCTTAATGAAGAATGGGATGGGAGAGGGAGGAGGAGGTGGGATGGAAGTGGGGTGGGAGGGTGGGTATGGTGGGGAGAACCATTATATTCCTAAAGTTATATTTATGAAATCTATATTCATTAAATAAAAGGTTTTTTAAAAAAGATAGAAGCAGAGTTTAGGTTTTTCTTTTTTTTAAGACAAGATAAATCATTATTTTAACTAAATGAGGAAAAGAAGGAAAAAAGGGACTCAAAAATTAATCTTAAATTCCGCCATCAACTTATATATATTCTTGGTACAATTATTTTCTGTCTCCCCTGCATTTTCATCTTGGAAAAGAACACTCTGAATGCTGACTGCCTAGGTCAGTGATTCCTAAATGTTAGCATGCTCACTTCAGAATAGCTCAAGAGTGCTTATGAGAAGTTCAGATTCCTGGGTCTCACACAGGATTCACTGCTTCTGATCTCATGCAGGTTTGTCAAGGTGAGAGGAAAGACTGTTCACCAGAGTTTGTTCTTTTGTCTAAAATTCACTTTCCTTCTAGTTTCTTATGTCTTGTACTTCTTTCTACTTTTCCAGAACTTGAGAATGGGATCCCAATTGCTTCTCAGATGCATTCCCAGCCTTTTTGTGGATTCCAGAAACAACTTCTGCCTGAAGCTGTCTGCTCCTTTTTATCCTAGAACAAGGTTGCTCAAATTCCAGACTTTAAGCTTAAAAGGAATACTAAACAAATCCCGATCTAAAAACACATATTGGGACAGGCATTTGACACAGTGGTTAAAGAGGGCACTTAAGGGGTCTGCATCCCATTATCAGAGTGCCTGGGTTTGAGTCTTCACTCTGCCCCCAATTCCTGCTTCCTGCTAATGTACACCCTGGGAGGCAGCAGGTACTGGGTCCCTGCTGACCACATTGGAGACCCAGAATGAGTTCCCAGCTCTTAGCTTTGGCCTGGTCCAGGCCCTGCTGTTGTGGACACTGGGGAGTGAACCAGCATATTGGAGCTCTCTGACTCTGCTGTGTCTCTCTCTTTTTCTTTCAAATAAATAAAATAAGTTTAAAAACCTGTATTTAAATCATGTTCCTCTAATAGCATCATACTGCTATAATGTATTGAGGACTACTGTGTTAGGCATGAGCTAAGCATTTTACATATATTAGTAGCTGCTTCCACATAAAATAAAATGCCAAACATGACTTTTTCCAGAAGCAACTGAGGTGGTGGTCGTTTGATTCTGACTCTGTAATTTCTAATGGTGAAAGAAAACCCAGAAGTTGAAACGATGCTTCTCTCCACCCAACTATGTCTTGGAGACTTCAACCATCACGTGGGCAATCCAGCCAATGGTCTGACCTCTGCATGGCTTCATCTGCCATGACCCTTCTTTCCATTCCACCTTGACCGTCCATCCTTGATGTTTTCTGGACACAGCAGCATTCTGCTGAAATACTAAGCTTTGACATTCCCCCCATCTGACCACAGCCTCTGATATTTTCAAGCATCTCATTAAAATACTACTTTCCTAACTAAAAAAATCCTCTGGGGGACAGATGCGTGGTGCAATGGTGAAAATGCTGCCCATGATCCCTGCATATCAGAGTGCCTGGGTTCCAGTCCTGACTCCTGCTTCCCTGGGAGGCAGCAGGTAATGGTTCAAGTACTTGGGTTTCTGCCACCCCCGTGGGAGATCTGGATAGCATTCTGGGTTCCTGGCTTCAGCCTGACCCAGCTCTGGCTGTTGTGGGCATTCGGCGAGTGAATCAGTGGATGGATGATCTCTGTCTCTGGCCCTCTGACTTTCAGAGAAAATGAAAATAAATAATAAAATTTTAAAAACTCTTCCAATACTTTCAGTACATTTAACCTTTCCTTTCTCTCTATTAGCTCTTTTCTGTTTGCACTTCCCTATCAAACTGCTTAGAGCCCATGGTCCAGTATTCTACTGTATTCTCCTAATCTGCCATGCTACACTGTCTAGGCATTTGCCTTGAAAACCCAGTGTTGGATGAGCCCAGCTGACTGGCTTCTTTCTGCTAATAGACTGCTGCTATATAAACATCTTATCATTATCCAAAACTCGGGTCACAGTGTTGCTCAATCATTGAATTCTAAAATCATTGTATTCTTTTTTTTTTTTTTTTTTTTTTTTGACAGGCAGAGTGGACAGTGAGAGAGAGAGACAGAGAGAAAGGTCTTCCTTTTCCATTGGTTCACCCTCCAATGGCCGCCGCGGTGCATTGCGCTGATCCGAAGGCAGGAGCCAGGTGCTTCTCCTGGTCTCCCATGGGGTGCAGGGCCCAAGGACTTGGGCCATCCTCCACTGCACTCCCTGGCCACAGCAGAGAGCTGGCCTGGAAGAGGGGCAACCGGGACAGAATCCGGTGCCCTGATCAGGACTAGAACCCGGGGTGCCGGCGCCGCAAGGTGGAGGATTAGCCTAGTGAGCCGCGGCGCGGCCAAATTCTAAAATTATTGTATTCTATAATCTATTTTTATATTTGGAAGAAAACAACAAAGAGAAAATCAAGTTATAGAATAATATGCACATGTGCATATAATACTACCTATGTTGAATATGTGTTTATAATACATATAGAAATCTGGAAGTCTGTGTACACTGCTGACAAAAACAGGTTATTCCTCAGGGGTGGTATGACTGGGAATTTTAATTTCTTTTCATTGAATTTTTCAGAGAATGATTATTTTTTAATAAAAAAATACAGACATTTTCATTTGCAAAACTGTCTATCTTGCATTCTCCCATTTTTAATTGCAATTTCTTCTTCTTGAGCATATGAACTGTTCTCCTACTTCAGAACAAAATCCAAATTCATCAGAAGGGAATCCTTTCACTTTTCACCACTAAGCTGGAAGAGCTGCCAGCATTAAACGTGTCCTTCTCTCAAAAGGCAATTTGTCCCCCAAATTGAGCACTGGATCAAATCCTGCCTTACTTTCAAAGGCATCTCCATCCTATAACCCAGTTCTCCTTTGAGTCTTCATATTCTCAGTCACTGTTTGCAGCCATTCAAGTCTCTTTGATTAAACAAGTAATTCAAAACCTCCTATGAGTCTTCTTTTTCTTCTAGTTGTAAAATCTCTCCTTTTACTCCATAGCCATTTTGTTTTCTTCCTTTTAATTGTACATATGAGTATTTATGGGGTACAATGTGATGTTTTGATATATGTATACATTGTGGAATGATTAAATGAGGCTAATTAATATATCCATTACATACTGATCAATTTTTAGTAGCGAAAACATTAAAATCTACTTTGGGAGCAGGAGTTTGGCACAGTGGCTGAGGTGCTGGGTGGGGTGCCTGAACAACAAACTGGAGTGACTGGGTTTGAGTCCTGGTTTATTCTCAATTCCACCTTCCTGCTACGCACACCCTGGGAGGCAGCAAGTGATGGTTTCAGTAGCTGGGCCCCCAGCAACTGTGTGGGAAACCTGGATTGAGTTCCAGGCTCCTGGCTTTGGCTTGACCCAACCCTGTTGTTGAAACCATTTGGGGAGTGAACCAGCAGATGAAAGATCTTTCTGTCTTTCAAAAAAAAAAAAAAAAAAAAAGGAATTAATAAAAATGAAAACAAAAACAAACCCACTCTCTGGGAGCAGACATTTGGCTTAGTGATTAAGACATTGGTTGGGATGCCTGTAGTCCAAACTGGAGTGCCTGGATTTGAATCCTGATTCCACTTCTGAATCCAGCTTCATTTTAATGCATGCTCCAGGAGGTAGCAGGTGATGGTTCAAGTAGTTGTGCCCTTGCCATCCATGTGAGAAACCCACATTGAGTTCCTGGCTCCTGGCTTCAACATGGTTCAGTCTCAACTATTGCAGGCATTTGGGGAGGTCTCTATCTCTCTCAGATGAATAAAAAATTAAAAACAATAAAGTAAAATATACACTCATGGTGACTTTCAAGAATATAGTACATTATTATTTTTCAGCATTTATTTTCAATTGGCCAATAATAATTGCATGTATTTATGAGGTAAAATGTGATGTATACACAGTATATATTATGGAATGATCAAATCAGGGTAATAAGCATATTCATAGCCTCAAACATTCACCATTTTTTTGTGGGGAGATCATTTAACGTTCTTTGAGCTATTTTGAAATATACAATGCATCATTACTAACTGTAGTTGTCTTGCTGTGCAATAGAACACCTCATGTCTAATGCTTATGACCCTACCGACCAACGTCTCTCCCAGCCTCTGGTAACCCCCATTCTGCTCTTTCCTTCAATGAATTCAACATTTTTAATACAGAGTTTTTTTTTAAGATTTATTTATTTTGGTTGAAATTCAGAGTTACACAGAGGCAGAGAAAGAGAGAGAGAGAGAGAGAGGGAGAGGGAGAGAGAGAGAGAGAGTTTTCCATCCTCTGGTTCACTACCCAAATGGCTGCAACATCTGCAGCTGAGTGGATCCAGAGCCAGGAGCTTCTTCCAGGTCTCCCACATGGGTGCAGGGGCCCAGGGACTTGGGTCATCTTCCACTGCTTTTCTAGGCCATAGCAGAGAGTTGGATTGGAAGTGGAGCAGCCAGGATTCAAACAGGTGCCCATATGGCATGCCGGCATTGCAGGCAGCAGTTTTACCCACTACGCCACAGCACCGGCCCCTGAATTCAACTTTTTACGATTCCACAGAAGGTGGCTACCAGCTCCTGGTTTTCTATACTCGCTTTGCTGTGGCCTGCTCCACTGGCTGGTGTCTAAAGTTTGAATGCCCCTAAGTCTCCTCTCTCCTCCTTGGATATTTTCTTTCTGATCATACCATAAAGTTCCAGAGTTCTAAGTGCCATCTATTGACATGTCCATCCTAAAGTTATATCTTTAGCACTGACATTTTTCCTCAACTCCAGATTTACATCCAGCTGCCTTCTTGGTGTCTCCACACAGATATCTAAGACACCTCCAATTTAGCAGGTGAATGCAGGTATCCTACTGTTCTTTCTATGCCTTGCTTATTTCTCTGAATATAATGTCTTCCAAGTCTATCTACGTTGCTGCACATGACAGGATTTCCTTCTTTATTGTGGCTGAACAGAATTCCATGTGTTTACTTACATTTTCTTTACCCATTCTTCTGTTAATGAACACTTAGGATGATTCCCTATTTTGGCTATTGTGAACAGTGCTGCAGTGAACATGGGCTTGTGAATATCTCTTCAATATACTGACTTTACATCCTTTGGAAATGTATCCAGGGGACTGGTGCTGTGGCATAGTGGGCTAAGCCTCTGCCTGCAGTGCCGCATCCCATATGGGCATCTGTTTGAAGCTTGGCTGCTTCACTTCTAATCATTCTGTCTGCTATGGCCTGGGAAAGAGTGAAAGATAGCCCAAATACCTGGGCCCCTGCACCTGCGTGGGAGACCCAGAAGAAGCTCCTGGCTCCTGGCTTCAGATTGGCCCAGCTCTGGCCAGGGAGTGAACCAGCAGATGGAAGACTTCTCTCTCTCTCTCTGCCCTCTCTGCCTCTTTGTAACTCTGCCTTTCAAATAAATAAATAAATTTTTAAAAAAGAAAAAGCTAATGGAACAAGAAATAAGATAATTAAAAAAAATAAAGGTTTGGTAATCCTAGAAGAGGGCAAGTTTAATTGAAATCCTCAAATAAGTGAAAAAGAATATAAAGTTTTCATGCAAGGAATTCAATCACAAATCTCAATTTCTATGCTTTCCTCTCGAGCAACCTCTCCAGTGCCCAGTGGAGAGGGTAAAGGAGAGGAAGAAAGAGAAACAGAGATGTTGACAGAGAGCTCCCATCCACTGGTTAGCTCCCCAAATGCCTTTAAATGTCAGGAGTAGGCTGGGCTGAAGTAGGAGCTGGGAATTCAATTCAGGTCTCCCACATCGGTGGTGGACATCAAATCACTTGAGCCGTCATTACTGCCTCCCAGGGTCTGCATTAGCAGGAAGCTGGAGCCGGGTGTTGAACACAGGTACTCTGATATGAGATAGAGGTGTCACAACTGGTCACATCATCACCCCAGTGAACAGGGGCTGAAAGACACAGCAGCATCTTGACTGGGCATGCACCATGCACAAAATCCTTCCTGAGTCTCCATTCAAACTTTCCTAACCTGTGTGTCCTGTTCTTTCAGAGATTCTACAACAAACAAAAAACAAGATGCCCTCCTCCGCCAAAAAAATAGAATAAAATACCCTGTCCTATTTGAAAAATAAACTTCAGCTGACTCTCATGGCCAAGTGACATGGATCGTAGGTCTGTGTGGCCCTTAGCCTGCACCCACTTTCTTCTTGTTCACGCTTAACCAGTATTTAGGCTTTACTACCTTTTTCAGGGACTATAACCTTCAGCCTTCCCTTCCAATATGTTTTACTCATAAATGCCAGATCATTTCTTTTTTTTCCTGAAGTATAGGCTCAGATAATTTGCTTCCTCCCTTAAAAATGTTTTAATCATGGGGCCGGCACTGTGGCGCAGCGGGTTAACGCCCTGGCTTGAAGTGCCGGCATCCCATATGGGCTCTGGTTCTAGTCCCGGCTGCTCTCTGCTATGGCCTGGGAAAGCAGTGGAAGATGGCCCAAGTCCTTGCACCCATGCAGCCATGTGGGAGACCCAGAGGAAGCTCCTGATCGGCTTTGGATCAGCGCAGCTCCAGCCTTTGTCGCCAACAGGGAAGTGAACCATCGAATGGAAGACCTCTCTCTCTCTGCCTCTCCTCTCTGTGTAACTCTGACTTTCAAATAAAAACAAATAAATCTTTTAAAAAAAACCAAAAACTTTTAAATCTTTGGATGTAAAAATAAAATACAAATTCCTTAACCTATATATGGGATCTCAAAAAGTTCATGAAAAAATAGAATTACAAGATAAATGTATTCTGGTGCAAAAAATGTTTCAAATCACACATGGGTTTTTCATAATATGCATTTTCCATGAGCCCTTTGAAGACCCCCTGTATTCTCTGTCATCTCATTCACACTTGTTTTTCTCTTTTCTAGTCATACCAGTGATGTGTCTGTCAAACTCCTTTTTGTTATTATATATGTCCATGTCACACATTCTATACTTTTAAGCCCTTGGTCATGTTGACAGCGCTAGTTAAAATATTCATATTCCCTTCTACGAATCTTTAAACACTAGCACTCTTTCAATGCTTAGGCTAATGGCCCTACTCTCCTTAGTTCCTGAATGCCTTGTGGGATGTGATGATTAGAATCATTCTTTCTTACTTATACCAATAGCTCCCATGTGATTCTTATGCCTATCTACTTGAATTATTTTACTATCGCATGGATAAAGATGTTATTGATCCAATACATTACTCACCCTATATAATGATTACACTCTACTATTAGCCATAGAGAAACTAATATGGGGAATGCAGTGGTGAGAGAAAGGAGTTTTTTTTTTTTTTTTTTTTTTGGTAGGAAAGAACGAATAAAAAATGCTTGAAGGTCCGTCATGCACATTACTTTTTTTGGTTAAAAACACAAGTTTAGACAAGAAACTAGAGAAGTCCAGTCACCTGCTATGGTGAGCAAAAGGGTAGTCCACCCCTCTATTTTCACTTGTATCTACTTTTCATTTTTCTTCACATCTGTCTTCCTCTCAAATATTTTATCATAGGATAGTTCCATCTCTTCCCAACCAATAACTACTACTTTTGTCATTTCTTTGCTTTTCCCCTCAGGTTTTTATACTTTCTGTGTCTCTCCCTTTTAGGAACACTTGGGCATTACCTGTTACACTGTATAGGATCTGCCTTTCTTGACCCACCCCACTCAGTAACCAATCATTTATCTTCCTGAACTATTTTGTTTAAACTTTCCTTCTTAATATAAACTTACTTAATTTTATTTATTTATTTTTTTACCTCATTACTTAAACAGCTGCACAACCCTACAAACAGAATGGCAAACTAAATTTCACTTCAGGTCTGATCCTGACCTGAGCCTTTATATTTTTTACATTGCTCCTCGTACAACTCCTCTTTACCTCCTATATAATTTTCTTTTTCATTTTTGTATTTGTGTGACTCTTCATAATTAATTTAAACAATTATCCATTGAAATGAAGTTTAATCTTAATGAAAAAAATTTAACAAACATAATGTGGGGAATTAATTTATAAATTACATTGTTTCTTCCTACTTCGCACCCGACATTTTCCCAGCTGATACTAGCACAGTGCAGCATTTTATGCTGTAACATAGAAGAAAATAAAAATTTTATTGAAATAAAAACCCCTACTAAGCTGGCAGAATAAAACATATTTTAATATAGATTTTTTAATTATTCTTAATTAAAATCTTGCAGAGATTCTGCATTAATGCTCTATGGAAAGTTCATATCCACATATTTAAAGAAATAGTCGCTTTAGAGTTTAACCTTAAAATCAATGCCTCTAACATTAGGATACTATATAATTTAAAAAATACAATCTCAGACATATATCATTTTATCAAACAATTTACAATGGACGCCTCCAAACAACCCTTGGGAGAATATTCTGGTAATAGTTGTTTTCAGAGAGTAGGCATTTGGCCTAGCAGTTGAAGACACCATTTAGGATGCTTGAGTCTTCTATCAGAGCCTCTGCGGTGAATTCCCAGCCCCGGTTCCTGATTTCAGCTTCCCGCTGCTGCAGACCCTGGGAGGCAAAGGTGATGGCTCAAAAAAGAGTTGCCGTCATCCATGTGGGTGAACAGTGTTGGATTCCTGGCTTCCGCCTTGTGCACACTGGGCACTGAGGGTATCTGAGGAGTGAATCAGCAGATGGGAGTTCTCTGCCTTTTCTCGCTCTTTGTATTTCTCTGCCTCTCAAATTTTTAAAAAGGAACGATTTTCAGAATATGGAGGCTGGGTTAAAGAGCTCAAGGAAGTTGAAGTTTATACCTTTAGCATAGTAAAAAATTATGTATGATCGCTCTCAAGACGAGCCCAAATTTTCTTGTTTCTAACTTTTGGTTGACTATCCTTGAAGAGTAATTTTGCTTCCAGTTACTTCCCAACTGGCATTCTCAGTGCATTAAATTTTTTAATTAATTCAACAGATATCATAAAAGTAGCTGCCTCCCAGTGCCAGGCTTTGTTCCAGGTGCTAGAGAAATAACCATGCGCAACACTGACAGAGCTGATGTTCCAGTGTGGTGCAGGGGAGGTCAACAGCAAATCAATACAACAAATAACTGAAACCTACAGAGGGGGAAGACTGTCCAAACGCTACAGGAAGATGAAACAGAACAGAGAGCAGACAGGACAGAGACGCAGTTTTCAAAGAGGGAGTCAGGAGAGGGCTCACTGAGGAGGAAGCGTCCGTCTGTATAAAGACTTGAAGGAAAGGATGGGTAAGGCTGAGGATGTTAAAGGTTGGCACATTCTGGGCAGAGGCTGAAAGAAGCCATTCACCACATGTTGGTCTCTGCCAACACCAGGAAGTAACAGGAAACAAAATTCTACAGATGGATATTCCAGTACTTGTGAGAGTTCATCTATGATATTGTTAGACATTCATCTGGCATTCATGTATGCACTGAGTATACAGAAGGCACTAGGCCCTGAAACAATGATAAAATAGTCACGGTTTTTGTCCTTATGAAGCTTACAGACAATGCAGGTGGGAGCCATGTGTAAACAGACACAGAACAGTAATGTACAGTATGGTAGGGCTGGTGCAGGGTGCCACGGGGGCAGAAGATGGGGAGAGCTCTCCCAGAATGCAGAGGATTTAAGAGCGTTACTAAACATTAAAGTCTTTTATTCCTCTTCCCAACAGCATAGATGCCAGAACAGATTGTATACAGAAACAAGTAATAAATGCAGCACATGTATTTAAGCCTCACAACATCCTATGAGATAAGCTCTGCTATTATTTTCAGTTGGCAAATGAAGGAATGGAAGCAGAGAGAGGTTAGGCAATTTGTCCAAGGTCACAGAGACAGAAAAACGGCAGAGAAAGGGTACAAACTTGGGCACTATGCTTCCAGATCCTGTGTCCTTTTCCCCCAATTTATTTATTTAATTTATTTGAAAAGGAGAGAGAGAGAGAGAGAAGAAGGAGGAGGAGGAGGAGGAATAGGAGGAGGAGGAGGAGGAGAGGGAAGAGAGGGAGGAGAGGGAGGAGAGGGAGGGAGGGAGGGAGGGACTTGCATTCATCTACTGGTTCATTTCTCAAACGCCTGCAACAGTAAGAGTGGGGCCAGGCTGAAGTCTAGAACTCAAGTCATATCTCTACAAGGGTGGCAGGGACTCAGCTACTTGAGCCATCACGTGCTATCTCCAAGGTGCACATTAGTAGGACAGGGAGCAGGAGTGGAGCTAAGACTTCAGTCCAGGCACTCCATATGTGGGCATCCCAATGGTTTCTTAACTACTGTGCCAAATGTTCACCCCTGGGCTGATTTCAACCACTGTCTTTTACACAATCTAGGAGTCACATGCAGGTGTAATAATTTGATGATAAATAAAGACCTTTAGGTATTTTGCAGCTGTTTCAAGACAAAGCTTGGTATAGACTACCTGAATTGTCTGATTCCAGATGGAGATTTTTTTTTTTTAAAGAATGACCCAGAGTACAAAGGTCTGTTTTTGTCTACAAATTAAAATCAAATCATCTTCAGACTGCGGTAGAAATGTTTGACATTAACCACTGTTATAAAAAGATTGTACTAGGAGCAGCTCTTTGCTATTCTCTCTGCCCTATTTTCTGACATTGTCAATGAGTAAAGAACTACCTGTCAGGTAATCTAACTGCTGTCTATTGAATGTAACAGGTTTCGGCAAGTGTCCAGGGCTGTACATGAGTTTTACAAACCTGCCCTGCTCTTCAGCCTCAGCCCTGCTCTCGGACCACACTTCGCAGAAGGACATCATCTTGGGTTTTGCTGGGACTGCCAGTAAAGATACCAGGAATGTTCTGGACTGAGTTACAGCTACATGATTTCATCCAAGCTATGAGAGAGGTGTCACATGACAACCATCCTGACTGGAAACGGCACTGGTGACCTAGATGAAAGGAATCTTGATGGGATCGGAGCAGAGAGACATGTGGGTGTGCAGTCTGGGAAAGCTATACTTTCATTCTGCCGGACATCGAAGAGCTGATGATTCCCCACTTCATCATGCCCAGCTCCTTGACCAGATAGACAAATGGAAATCCTAGCTGGGGACTGCACAAATTCTATCTGTTGAGGAAACAGCATTTCTGACCATGATAAGTGACATAAATTCCAGATGGAATTCTTGGAAAGCCAAAAATAATACGAGGAGCAATTGTATATGAAAATTCTGAAATAGTAGGAAAGGGAACTAGAATCCTATCTTTTTTTTTTTTTTTTTTGACAGGAAGAGTGGACAGTGAGAAAGACAGACAGAGAAAGGTCTTCCTTTGCCGTTGGTTCACCCTCCAATGGCTGCCGTGGCTGGCGCGCTGCGGCTGGCGCACTGCAGCCGGCGCACTGCGGCCGGCGCAGCGCGCTGATCCGATGGCAGGAGCCATGTACGTCTCCTGGTCTCCCATGGGGTGCAGGGCCCAAGTACTTGGGCCATCCTCCACTGCACTCCCTGGCCACAGCAGAGAGCTGGCCTGGAAGAGGGGCAACCGGGACAGAATCTGGCGCCCCGACCGGGACTAGAACCCGGTGTGCCGGCGCTTCAAGGCGGAGGATTAGCCTAGTGAGCCGCGGCACCGGCCAGAATCCTATCATTTTTAAGACCACAGATCCTCTTCTAGTGGTATCCATAGCAGAAAACCATTGAATGATTTAGCAAAAATTGTATGAATATTTACACAAGTTACATGCATATTTCTTTGCTTATACAACTTGGTTACTTTCAGGTCTGATGTACCTAACAGTAGATAATGGTGAAGTCTCCTGTCTCATACATCATTCTGAAAGCTGGATCCATCAAAACAGAATGTCCTAACTGATTAACTGATGGAGGAGACACAGAATGTTTCAGAAAAGTCAGATCCAGGTGTAAATCTCAAACATGATAGGAAAAAACTAATCTTACCAATCGAATTCGGGGTAATGCTATGTATAAGGATAGAAGATAAGAATTCAAAATAGGATGAAAGAAATTTGACAAAAATGGTGATCAAAGTTAACACTAAATTGAAAGGGACTTCCAATGCTATTGCATGAGTGTTGCCATCTCATGCAGCAGGAGGAATTATGATCAATTTTCTATTTATATAGGGAGCCCAACTTATTGTGAAAAGAAAATATTGACCAGGCTTATCAGCAACAAAATGCAACAGTGTGGTTAATAATTTACTTTATAACTTAATCCCTCTTTACCCTCAAAGCAGCTAAATATTTCCAAATCGTGTAAAAATATATCCAATTTAAAAAATGTAGTAAATAAAAATATGTAACAAAATATGAATCCTAGGCGGAACTTACATTGAAACATTTAAAAAACTCTAAAACTCTAGACTGCCTCTGAAAAAGAATTCATAAATAAATTTATAAGAGTAACCAAATGACAACACACAGTAAACTTTCTAGATGAAAAAATGGCTCTCCTAATAAGCAAAGGCTGAAAAGCAAGAGCAATGCAATATGCACTAGATTCATATTGTGGGGAATGTGTCTGTATCTAATCTAATGCTTGCATACATTTTTCCTATTCTTTGAGAACAGAGTAACAATTGTCTCTTGCTCTGAATCAGAATAACAGAATCTGTGGTTTGCCAAGCTACAGTGTTTGCACTTTCATTACTGTTCATAGAATAACTGTATGCTTCCTTTTGCTGTTATCTTACAGCATTTTATCTCTTTAAAAAAGCTACTCAAACTATCTTCAGCATGAATCTCAAAGTCAAAATCAGCTACCATGTTTAAGCAGAGGTTTTCAATGTGCCTATACATATACTTATTAATATTTATTTTGATAAAATATGATTTTCACATTCCTACTATTTCATTTCACCACAATTTGCATTGTTATAATAGGTTATTGATTGATTTTTTTTTGGTTTAAGGGACTAGGGTACTATTCAGTAATGACTGAGTGCTACAAGTTTATTGCTAGTGTCCAAGGTTCATTCACCCCAAGCAATTTAGTCAATAACCAATTTTTATACTTCTATCTGCTTCAAAATTCCAAACCAATAATCCCTGTTTTTTTTTTAATTATTTCAGTATCAGACTAACATTTCCCATGGAAATCAATATGGGTGCGATCCATTAGCCAAAAACCTGCAGCACTGCAATGCAAACATATTAAAAATATTGATCTTGCAAAGCTACTGATGTTTTGATTGACTTTAATGTTTGTAAGCAGCAATAACAGAATTTCAATGACTGAAACGAACTTTTGATTAAAATTATAGATTTTTTTTGGGAGGGGGACTTGCTATTTTACTGGCTTAAAACATCACATGGTTTACTTGCCTGCCATTAATGAGTGCTGTGGGATATACTTATCCAATTCCTTATTTGTAAACATTTTAGTCTATCATAGCTTACACATCTATAATCTACTTTGAACTGCTTTGACATTTCAATTCCACTTTTCATTACACCCCACAGTGAGGGCTGGACTTTTTGGACTAACAGTGCCAGGATTTGGGAGCTTTAATCCTTCTTCCACTATTATGCAACCTTTGGGAAGGAATTTTATTTTCAGTTTAAATTCCCCAAATGTAAAATGGAATTAACCCTGAGAATCAGTGAACATTCTTATTGCATTTTGAGATCGATGGATAATAAAGACTATAATTTATACATACAAAGATTATTTGGGAGTGGGCATCTGGCCAACAGGTAGGGTGCCAGTTAGATTCCCACATTCCAAATTGAAGTGCCTGGGTTTGTTTGGGTCCTGGCTCTGTGCCCAATCCCAGCTTCTTTCTGGTGTGTGGCCAGCTTCCTGCTGGTGAAGCAGGTGATGGCTGGTGAAGCAGGCGGTTGGGTCCCTGCTCCCCACGTGAGAGACTTGGATTGAGTTCCTGGCTCCTGAATTTGGCTTGGCTCAGCCCTAGCAGTTGAGGGAGTCTGGGGAGTGGACCAGTGGTTGAGAGCTCTCTCTGCCTCTTAGATCCAAAAAAAAAAAAAAAAGATTATTTGTCCCTTAAAGAAAGCACAGAATTTTACAGCTGTTTGGTGATCATCTGGAAACACTCTCCTTTGATTACAAACAGACTGAGACTCAGAAGGTGCAATGACAACCCAAGGGGCTGAGGGCTCCTGGCCACTCTTTATGAAACCTACCACTATGCCGCCTGTGTCCCATCAGGCCCACTTTCAGCACTGAGCCATCTTGGTTTTTATCCTAACACCTCTAGTGTTTTTATCTAAATAACTATCACCCATCTATCCATATTCTTTTCTTCCTATTTATTAACTATTTTCTCTTCTAAAACTTATGTCCTAGTCAAGAACACTGTTTACTGCTTTCACTGCCAAATCCCTTGAGTCTGAAAAGCAGGAGGACCTAATAAATATTTTTTGAATAAATGAATGAAGGAAGGAGCTAGAAGCAACAGTGGAGTAAACGGCTGGGTTGGGCTGGGGTAGAGTGGAGGTTAGGACTGATTCTCTTAGCTTTCAACCTTGTGTCACAAGGCTTCCTTCCTAACACATTCCTTTCACTCTTGTAGACTCCTAGATATCAAAGGACATCTGGAATCATGTCTCTTATACCTACTTTTGTTGAAGTCCATGGATATTTTTGTTTGCTCTACCTTATACCATATTAAAATTACAATTAATTCTCATTTTTAACTTGGGATATTGCATTGGAATAAAGAGAAATAACAACAGTTTGAGTAAAATGGAAATTAAACATTCCCTACTTACAGCTGCTTATTTAATTTCTTTTCTAAGCATCCCTTATGGCCCTTCAAGGGCTTGTAAATCTGCAGGGACTGTGGCCTCTTCTGAGTCTTTTTGCTTTCCCTCACATTGCTCTATACACACACACTACATTTGCAAGGATGCACTGTAACTGGAAGAGAAGTTCCTGGCCCTCTTTCCCAAGGCTGATGCCCCGCTGACCTTCCAGATCTGCCGCTGTGGTGGCAGCTGCTGCTTTCTGGTGAGTGTCAGGGAAGTGGTGAGGTTTGTAACCATCAGCCTGGGTGAGAATCCCAACCCTCCTGCTTAGCACCTGCATGAACCTTGGTTCACTCATCTTAAAAAAAAAAAAAAAAAGGTCATAACACTAACTACAAAGATGAGCTGTGAGGAGTAACAAGACCCAGCTGACGTGCAGGCACTATCAGTGCCCTTCTTCACATATTAGTGAAAAAAATAGCTACCCAACGTTACCGCTCCTCAGCGCTATTCTTTTTTCTTAACACTCTCTGTGAATAGGCTGATGGAACTGGAGTCTGTTTATAAAGGCTACAATTCAGACAAGCTGAAAAGGGCATTCAGAGACTTATGTGGGACCACAAGTGGTTTGGAGAATTCGAAAGGAGGCACAAAGGAAGGCGAAAGTGTTTCCAAGAGCTGACAGCTGTGAACACACTGTGCAACATGTACTCTGTCTACTGAAGAAGATCTCTACCCAATTACCAGTGGCCTGAGCGTGGCAGGCGGTATCATGCTTGAGCAAGGGTAAGGGCATTGCTTTCCTCAAGCACCCCCTCACCCCCGGCTATTCTAATGCCTGTAAGGGGTCTAATGCCCTCAGTGCCTCATTCCCACACTCCCTTATCCCCTCCTCAGAACCACCTTCAGTTTCCTAAGCACCTACTCGCAGTCAGCCCTTGAAAATGGGTCTCTCCCAAGGCAGCTCCATCCATTCATCTACCTAGACTCCTCAAGTCTATCAGCTGCTCCGGTGCTGCAAGGCTAGTGCACTCTGGATGAGATCTTAAGGCCCCTCCCGAGGCAATAAGCTGAGCCAGCCCTTTCACAGAGGCATTTTATTGTATGGATGCCCACCAAATAGCTTCAAGGAAGGTGAAGGCCACCTGCTAGGTGGATTTGACTGAAGATCAACATGACATTAAAGAGAAGGAGGAGTTCTCTGAAAGGTTTGTTTTTATCTCTAAAACTGTAGGAGATGATGGTAAAGGCCAGGATGCAAACAGCAGAAAAAGGTTCTTTTATTATTTCTGCCCACGTGTGCAGTGGGACTTGCAGTGGACTTACAACCCCGGCCGGCATCACTGACTCTGTGCTTCCTCCCTAGGCACTGCTTACCCTTCAGGGGAAAAGCTGGCTGAGATACTTTATGACTGAACCACACACTGTGCAGTGTGGTGGTGGGATCACAGGACGTGCGTCCTGTTTGCTCTCCAGACTACTGTCGGATGCACCTGACCTTTACTTTTGGGGGGAACCGTACAGGCTTTTGAGCACATGAGAAAAGCTATGATTCCCCTCTGCATAAATGAACCTACTAATCCAACACAGAATCAAAAGGGTTTATTCTAGTCCCTGTGGCTCTGCCATGGATCCCCCAGGTTCCAGGTATTTCATGGTAAGCCTCCTGAGTTAGCACCTGCTCACACGACTGCTTGCTCACAGGACGGCAGGCACACAGCAGGAAGACATCTGCTTATGGGTGAAGAGGGGAACGAGGGGAGAATGGCAAGTTTAAAATGGAAAGTATTATTTTCCCTCAAGTTAGAAAGTATTCAGATGAAGGAAAAAGACCATTCAAATGCCAGGACTTGGATGTATGCAACACAAGTTAAATGCATGCAAGTCGGAGATTTGGCTTAATTCCAGGTACAAAATATTTCAGCTCCATGGGGGAAGCCAACCATAGGCCAAAATCTCAAAGCATATACATATGTAAACCATTTAGTATTTAAAAAGGCCCAATATTTTAATTTCTCTAGAAATTCTTAAACTTCCCAGAAATTTTAATGGTACAAACATTTTAAATATAGAGGGCTGGCAGTTGTTGAGAAATATTTTGGCACAGATTCTAATGGAGATTTGTTGATCTTTTTTCAGGGACACACGAGCAAATTTAAAACATAGTTATTGAAAACTTGGAAGACACCTCCCTAATTTATAACTATTTTAAGGCACATCACATGAAAGTCTGAAATTTCCTGATATTATGTTTCTAAATTGTAGGGTAAAGCATTTGTCTTCTTCAACTGAAGACAAAAAGTTGGAAAACGAATGTGTGTCTCCGTGTGAGTGTTTATATATGTTCATACATATGTAGACACACATAAACATGCATATGAGGGTACTTTAAAAAGTTTGTGGAAAATGGAATTAAAAATATAAGCTTATTCTTGTGTAAAAATTTTTAAGCATATATTTTTATTATATACATCTTCCATGTCATGAAAAAAATGTTTTTGCACCAAAATAAACTCATACTTTAAAAAAACAAGTTATTTATTTATTTGAAAGGCAGAGAGGCAGCGCTCCCATTCGCAGCTTTATTCCCCAAATGCCCACAGCAGCTGGGGCTGGACTAGGGCTGCAGCCAGAAGCCAGGAACTCAATCCAGGTCTTCATTGTGGGTGGCAGGAACCACTACACGACACCACTGCTGCCTCCCGGGGTCTGCATCAGCAGAAAGCCAGAGACAGCAGCTGGAGCTAGGCCCCACAGGAAGGCATTCCTACATTGCACATGGGCACCTTAACCTCTAGCGTAACACCCAACCTGAAATTACAATTAGGCAAGTGTTGGTCAGGAAACAGAATGAAAGCCTTCCAATGAAAACTCTGTAGAAAAACACTCAGGAAAATCAGAAGAGAGAACTGAACTCAGATAACTTTTTAGCTGAGATTATTTGCTAAATGTTAGATGGGGGTGGGGTGGAGGGTTTGGAATTTTCAGCTTATAAGCTCATTTACCCCTTAAACTAGCCTTAATACCTTACATTAAAAAGTTTGGTGATCACCAAAAAAGACAGACATACAATTACTTTATGAACAGCAATTCTACTCCTAGCTATGTGACCAACAGAAGTTAAAACAAATGGTCAACCAAAGCTCGAACATCAATGTTCACAGCAGCACAATTCTTAATTGCCCAACAGTGAAAACAACCCAAATGCCTTTCAACAGATGAATGGACAAACAAAAGGTGGAATATTCATACAACATAATATTATCTAGCAATAGGAAGTAATGAAGAATTGATACATACCATAACATGGATGAATCTCAAGAACATTATGCTAAATGAAAGAAGCCAGTCACAAGAAACTGCACGTTGTATGATTCCATTCATATGAAATGTCCAGATTAGCAAATGCACAGAAACACGAAGCGCCCAGGGGCTGGCCAGGTGAAGGAGGAATGGAGACTGCCTGCTTAATGGGTAGAGAGTTCTTTTTGGAGGGATGAAAATGTGCTGGAATAAAACAGGTGTGACAGCTATACAACTCTGTGAATGTACTAGAAATCACTGAATTGTACACTTTAAAATGGTTACTATGATACATTTTACATTATGTGAATTTTACTAAATAAAAATTACGGTTAGAATTCTTTCCCATTTTATATTACTTATAATTCTGGAGAAGAAAGATATTAATGAAACCAACTTGGATTTTTTATTTTTTTAAATTTATTTGAAGGTGAAGTTTCAGAGAGAGGAAGGAGAGAGAGAGAGAGAGAGAGAGGAAGAGGAAGAGGAAGAGGAAGAGAAAGAGAAGGGAGAGAGAGATCTTCCATCCAAATGGCCACAATGGCCAGAGCTGGCCAGGCTGATGCCAGGAGCCTAGAGCTTTTTCCAGGTCTTCCATGTGGTGCAAGTACTTGGGCCATCTTCTGCTGCTCTCCCAGGCACATTATCTGGGAACTGGATTGCAAGTGGAACAGCTGGGAATTGAACTGACACCAATATGGGTTGTTGGTGTTTTAGGCTGAAGGTTAACCTCCTATGCCACAATTCTGGCCCCCCAAATTGGATATTATCTTAGGTACTCATTTTTAAACTTCTGACACTTCTATGTGTGTTTGATTAAGCCATGTTAATTGCTATAAACATTCTCATAAGTACATATTTATAATTCTGGCAAAATAAGACAAGGAAACATAGGGGAATAAACTTTGCTCAAAATCCAGCTAGAGGCTACACAACTCTACCTTGCTTAGAAATGTCAACAAGGGGCTGGTGTTGTGGCACAGCAGGCTGGACCGCTGCCTGGATGCCCCACATCCCACAAGAGCACCAGTTCAGATACTGGCTGCACCATTTCTGATCCAACTCCCTGCTGATGTGCCTAAGAAAGCAGTGGAAGACGGTCCAAGTGCTTGGGCCCCTGCATCCGTGTGGCTGAGTCCTGGTTCCTGGCTTCAACCTGACCCAGCACCAGCCACTGCGGCCATCTGGGGAGGGAACCATCAGATGGAAGATTGCTCTCTCTCTCTCTCTCACCAGTGGCTGGAACATGTCTCTCATCCTCTCCCTCTCTGCAACTCTGCCTTTCAAAAAACAAAACAAAACAAAACAAAACAACAAAATCATATTGAAATGTAGAGACTAAACTGTCAAAAAATACAAGATTTACTGCTCCATATTCATCCTCCATGATATCCAAAAGCAAGGTTTATAGTCAATTTTTTTCTGCCTATTGCTTTTTTTTTTTTTTTTTTTGACAGGCAGAGTGGACAGTGAGAGAGAGAGACAGAGAGAAAGGTCTTCCTTTGCCATTGGTTCACCCTCCAATGGCTGCCGCGGCTGGCGCGCTGCGGCCGGCGCACCGCACTGATCCGATGGCAGGAGCCAGGAGCCAGGTGCTTTTCCTGGTCTCCCATGGGGTGCAGGGCCCAAGCACCTGGGCCATCCTCCACTGCACTCCCTGGCCACAGCAGAGGGCTGGCCTGGAAGAGGGGCAACCGGGACAGAATCCGGCGCCCCGACCGGGACTAGAACCCGGTGTGCCGGCGCCTCTAGGCAGAGGATTAGCCTAGTGAGCCGCGGCGCCGGCCTGCCTATTGCTTTTAATGCAAGATTCACTTAAGATCTAGGAACTCTGAAGCGAAAATAAATTTAGCAAATATTCATAAGGTACCTAATTACATGTTTACATTATAATGAATATTTGAATATTATGTTTTAAATTTTAAAAATAATTTTTAGCAATTAAAAATAAATAGAATTTCTCTGTTCAGTAACCTGGCTATAGCAAATTTTAAAAAAAGATTTATTTATTTCTTTGAAAGGCAGAGTTACAGAAAAAGGGGAAGACAGAGAAAAAGGTCTTCCATCAGCTGGTTCACCCCCCAAATGGTTGCAATGGCTGGAGCTGGGCCGATCCAAAGCCAGGAGCCTGGAGCCTCTTCTGGGTCTTCCACATGGGTGCAGGGGCCCAAGAACCTGGACCATCTTCCATTGCTTTCCCAGGTCATCAGCAGAGAGCTGGATTGGAAGAGGAGCAGCTGGAACCTGAACTGCTGCCACAGGCAGAGGATTAGCCTACTATGCCACAGTGTTCTCTCCAAATTTTTTTGTTGCTTTCATCGTCGATAAATTCTAAGTATTTCTCAACTTACTCTTCGATCTTTAAGTTAATTGGAGGACTTCTTTTTTCTAATTTTTTCTCTATACTCTTTTCCTCTTTCATGAATACAATGAATATACTTTTCTCTGAGATTCAATAATTGTTAGCATTTTGCCTTTTTTGGTACATGCACATTTTCCTCACAGACTCATTTGAGAATGACAAACAAAATAACAACTGCACATCAAGTATTTGTGTTTCTGTTATATTTGTGTTTCTGTTATATCTGTTAAGTATTTGTGCTTCAGTTATAAGAGTAGTATCATGATACACCCTTTATTATAGCACTCTACCTTTCTAAGAATAAAAGTTAAAAATGTATAATAGTTATATTGACTTTTCTGCAGAATTTCTCACTATAAGCTCTAAGACAGCAATGTGTCTTCTACGTCTTTGGCATGGTACCGTTCTCCTTCCTGACTTCGAGATATTTTTCACCTTGAAAGCGTCCTGAGCACCTTCCAATTTCAGTCTTCTTTTCTCTAGATAGATGGCACCTTTTGTGCACACAGCACACAGCACATGGCACACACTCATTCTGTTACTCTGGGAAGAGTCAAAGCACTTGCGTGTCTAACCTTCATCTGGATACTTGTTTTATGCTGTATTTTATTATTTAAAGGGGACAACTTTTCAGCTATAAGAAGAATATGCTCTGGGATCTAACTTACAGCAGGGTGGTTGTGGGTAGCGATATTTGCTAAGAATCTTAAATATCCTCATCACACACTCAGCAGTGGCAACCATGTGATATGCCAGGTATGTTAATTGGCTTGATCATGGTAATCCATGCACACTGTGCCCACGGGTCAACTCATTAGACTGGACAGCTAGAAGGTATACGGGTTTTGTCAATTGTACCTCAATAACACTGGGAGGATTTTTTTTTTAATTTCCAGGCTGCATTGTGTCATTGAGGTCACAAGATCTTCCAGGTCAGGGGCTGTACTTTTTGAAGCCCATCATGAGTGGATACTAAAATATTTCTCAACTCCTTTGAAATCTCCATAGCATGGTATTTATTACAGGAATGCAAATGAATTCAAGAGTCCACACATTTACTTTTACAAAGAATAATATGCCATAAACCCAAGTAAACTAACACTATGGTCTAGCTGATAATTTACTTTTGATTCACTGAATATAACCTCATACTCTCCCGCTGAAAGAATATTTATGCTGAAAGGTTGTTAGTTCTTAGAGAGTATCTGTTCAATCATATATACATACACACTGTGTACATTGTAAATATATATACTCACATATATATGTATATTCACAAATGAAAAAACAGATATACGGAAGTTAAATGATTGACCCAACAAAACAAAAACTTTTAAAAAGCAAAGCTGCAATTAAATAAGTTTATACATATAAAATGCTTAGATCAGGGTCTGGTAATATAGGAGGGGCTTAAGCAGTGTTGTTAGCCTCAGATAGAGTCCAGGGCATTCCATTCTATTTCCAACAGAACTCGTAATCCTATGGTAACACAATGAAGTCCATCCCTGGAGACTATGTTATGCATTCTTTTCTGAACAAGAGACACGTGACAAGAAATCAGGCAGAGACTGTCCTCAGCACAGGCCTGGCTGGGGTTGCTCTTCTCCACTAGAGCCACAGACTGGCAGGCCACGGGCCTGATCCGGACAGCCGCTAGGTTTTTTGTTGGTTTGCTTTTAAATATTTATTTATTTGAAAGGCAGGGGGGTGGGGGGGGACTGATTGATTCTATCCGCTGGTTCAACAGCTGGGGCTGGGTAAGATTGAAGCCATGAGGCTAGAATTCCATGTGGATCTCCCATGCGGGAGGCAGGGACTCAAGTACTTGAGCCATCACCTTCTGTCGACCACCGTGTGCCTTAGCAGGAAGCTGGATCAAAAGCAGAGTTGCTGGGACTCTGAAATGGGATGTGAGTGTTCCCAAGTGGAAGCTTAACCTACTGTGCCACAATACCCACCCCATGGCTGGTGTTTTATTTGACCTATAAAACGGTTTTAAAAGTTGCAACACTTGCTGGAGAAATTTCAAATAAATATGCAGCTTTTGGCATCCCTGAGAAAACTGGAAAATCTGACAATACTGGGCTTGCATGTCACCAGTCAGCTGGGATCTGAGTTTGTAACTCCCGTTCTGCAGCCACAGTCTTAACTACAATTAATGTGAAGAATTATAACTCTGAATCATGCACTGAGAGCTTATATTAGTCAAAAAATGTAAAGTGATATTTGCTAGCTATACCAAATTGCTAGCCACACTTACATAGCTATTTTCCAAGTTGGGAAAATGGATTGCAATAAGAAAAAAAAAAACAAAGGTGATGGTAGTGTTTAAACAGTTTACTGTAATTTAACCAGAAAATCCTTTTGAAGAGAAGAACCTACTCCCTGGACTTCAGCTACATAAGGTCCCACTGTATTTTTCTTTTATGAGAGGCACTGTTCAATAACTTCAATTCACAGGTTAAATAAAAACAAATGACATGACTTTCTTTGGAGTTTTTTCCCTTATTTTAAATATAGTCCTAAGATCTGCAAACATTTCAGTTAGCCCGCTTTTGACCTGAACTAAGCAGCTATAAGGGAAAAACATTAAAAATAAAAATAGGTTCCATTAACTATCCTCCCTCTGCCACCTTACACTTTTTGGTGCTAAAGCATATGCTCTGCCACCTGCAGATAGAAGTCACAGCCTGAGAGTGTCTCTTCTGACAGGAATTACTGGTTTCAAGCATGCCTGGTGATTTGGGACAGTAGCACTTAAGAAACCTTCAATCTGGCAGTTTTATCACGGCACATTTTCTACAGCATTCCTACAGCCTAAAGTTGTGCGAATTTTGGAATC